TCTTCTTTTGTTTTTGTTTGTCCCTAGCTTCTGGACATCTGATGATCTATTGGACACAGCCATTTGCAGAACAAGAACCAGCCAATGAAAACGTCTATTGCTGATGCTATTGCTACAACCAGAAACTGTGACAAATGCAATATACATGTTAAGTATTCAGACATCTGACAGACAAAAACTTTGAAAATGATAAAGTTTGAGTATTGTAGCGTTTTAGTAGATGTTAAATAGTAGTAAAAAAGTAGAATTGTCCTTTCTTTGTTGTTCATAAACACATTTCCACATAAGAGTTAAAATAGTACCCTACAATGTTATCCTTTTGATAGATCAGCTATAATATTAGAATCAGAGTATTTTAGAGATATTAAAAGTGACAGAAGTCACAAATTAGAAATATGCCTTTGCTCAAGCTGCAGCCGAGCTTTGGAGTTAAAAAATAGAGGAAATAGGAATAGATAAAAGCATCAACCATAGATGCTTTCAAAAATAGAGAATATTTCCAGCCAGTGCTAATATCAAATGGTAAAGGGACCATTTCACAAGCATTTACTTCAAAAGTAGATAAAGTTAATTACAGTTTATGTACAGTTTTATTAGATACTTGCCAAATTCACTTGTGTTCAAACATGAGTGAATGTTGACAATGCAAAAAGTTCATATGAGTGTAGCCTAGATTAATGCCTAGATTAATGAGATAGATTAGAACCAACAGAGATTCAAAAGCATTTTGATGCATTTGTGTGTAGCACAAAAACACAATAGTAGATATTTAGATATTGAGAAGTTTCCAGCACAAACACCATTGTAGAACATTGACCCCAACCCCAAACCTGCTAAAATAGATTAGCTACTATTAGGATAATACTAATTTGATTAATGATGTACATTCATCCCAAACTGCCTGACAATAATATCTTTAGATAATAAAAAGTAATAAATCACTGACCACTATAGAAGTGTAAATGTTGACCATTTGCCTTACTGTGTTCACAGTTTTATTCCTGAGAATGAGAATAGACATGGAGCAAAATCCAACTGACAATAAGCCACTGATAATGAGAGTAAACTAAAGAGAGATTTATTAGATTAAAATGTATGTTTAAGAATATGGATCAATAGAAGCAAATATACAAACATATTTGTAAATAGATTAGAATAGTTTTAAACTATAGTGAATCATGAAAGTAAAGTACACAGTCTAAGATTAAAAAGTGAAAATAATACAGTGAAATAAGTGGAGTGTAGTGTAAACAATTAGCATTAGAATAAAAGTAGAGTAATAAAAGTGAAATTAGCTTCAAATTTGAGACTCTGCTCGTTTTTGTCTGTGTTTTGACTGAATCTGCTGAGTTCTACTGTGTCCAATAGTTTTTGTTTGTTTTTATTTTTGTTTGTTTTTTATTTTTGATTTGTTTTTTGTTTGTTTATTTACTTTGTTTTTGTTTGTTTTGTGTTTTCCCAGGATAGAGGATAAAATCCACTGATATTGATTTGATGATTATGAGTTTAATGCATACATTTTCTTTGTTTTTAATAATTTTTTGAAGTTTTTTTTGGAATTTTTTTTTTTTTTTCTTTTCTCACTTTATTGATTGATCGATTTGAGTGATCACATGTGATTATGTGATCAAAGGGGAGGGTGTTAGTATTAGATAGCAATATGGCCTACGTGCAGGACTCTACAAGGACTCTACAAGGACTCCATGTTATGACTATGATGTGACTGTCTCTTTGTGACACGTATGTCTTTCGATGTGTGACGTGACAATGACTATATAAACTGTGTACTGCCTTTATTCTGTCTGAGGGAAAGAAACAGAGTAAACTAGTGGAACTTGAGAGAAACTTAAATAAACTTCCAGAGTTTGGCACACCACGATCCGTCTCTGTCTGCTTCATCCCTGACACTATCCTCAAAGAAGTGAATGTATGACGTCACAGTGTCCGTATATTCATCCAAACTATCTGTGGCAGCTCTGAAAAGGTCCCAGTCTGTAGATTCCATGCATGCGCGCAGCTCTTCCACAGCTTCATCAGACCACACTTTGGAGCTCCTCACTGCAGGTTTCGAGAGCTTTAGTCTCTGTCTGTAAGCAGGAACCAGATGTATCATGGAGTGATCTGAGAAGCCGAGGGCTGGCTTGGGAACAGCGCGAAAAGCTCCGCGCACGGTGGTGTAACAGTGATCCAGAGTGTTCTCCTCTCTGGTCAGGCATTTGATAAACTGTCTGTATTTGGGTAATTCCTGGCTCAAGTTTCCCTTATTAAAATCCCCCAGGATAATAATCAGAGAGTCCGGGTATAAGCGTTCCATACACAGTACTTGCTCTGCGTCCGCGCATGGCGGTATGTAAACAGAGGCAAGAATGAATGAAACAATTTCACGAGGGGAGTAAAATGGTTTACAATGAATGAAAAGATATTCCAGAGCAGGAGAGCAGTGCTTGGAGATCACTGTCACATCGTTACACCAGTTTGTATTGACGTAGAAACACAGCCCACCGCCTCTGCTCTTCCCTGAGAGCGCACAATGGCGATCCGCGCGAAACAGCCCAAAGCCCTGCAGCTCCAGAGCGCAGTCCGGGATCCGCTCATTTAGCCAGGTCTCAGTGAAGCAGAGGACACAGGATGTGGCGAAGTCCTTGTTTCTTCTCATGAGCAGGCTGAGTTCGTCCATCTTATTGCCCAGTGTACGTTGGAGAGAAAAATGCCGGGGAGAGCCGTGCGCGCTCCTCTCCTCCTCAGACGCACGAGCAGCCTCCGCGCTTTCCCCTTTTACGGGCCCACACTTTTTTGGCTAGAACATGAACTAAATCAGCCGCAGATGCCAAAAAAACAGGCAATAGGTCCATGGGAACGGTGGGTCGGATGTTCATAAGTTCCTCACGGGTGTAGGAACAGCCAGATGCGCAGTTAAAAACAACAACACAACCCCAGTGAACATCAGCACTGCACACACAACACAACCCAGGGAGGACCAGCATTGCACACACAACACAACCCCAGTGAGCACCAGCACAGCACACACAACACAATCCAGGGAGGACCAGCACCGAACACACACAACACAACCCAGGGAGGACCAGCACCGAACACACACAACCCCAGTGGGGAAAGTGTGGCTGCAGGTTTTCTTCCAACCAAGAAGGAGCACACCAGACTTCACCTTCCTCAAGTCTCCAGGTTGGGCCTGGGGACTGGACTCACTTTAAATATTGGAATGGAAAGAATGGAAAGTCTGACAAAACCTTAAAGAGTAAAATTAGTCACATTTTCAATGCGAGTTAACGGGGCCAAAGGAAGTAGGATCAGCATTGTCCATTCTAATGTTCAGTCAACCCCAGTTAGAATGAATTGGGAACCAGGGCCAAATAGATTACCAAAGATCAATCACTGATCTTTGGTAGAGATCCCTGCTGCTGCAGAGATCTTTGAGTTGTTTAGCAATGAGTGAATTATAAAGGGGCCGAATATGGAGGATGTCTGTGAAAGAGCGAAAGACAGAAGAGAAGGGAGAGATGTGTTGTAACTGACTGCAGAGACAACTGCATGTTTGTGCACAGTGCTCATTCTGACGTATCAGAAGGCCAATGTTCCCTCATAAGAGTTGTACTAAAATGAATTAATAAATATACACATCCAGTTTGTTCGCAAACTGCCCTGTCCACATCCATAATATATACATATATATATACAGTATGCTATGTTATTTGCTTTCACTTCACTGTTCACTGTGGTCTGTCAGTAAAAAATAAAAACGATGTAATTAAAAACAGCCTGTGATGAATGGGGCTGGGCGATAAAACGATAACGATATATATTGTGATAGAAGCGTGTTCGATATCAATAGAAAACGGGGTAGATAGAATAATTGATAGTTGAACTTCACTCCGTTAGAAAAAACATGAAGAAAACACAGGAAGTAAAGCCGAGTCAGAAGCACGCGGCATTCTGGGGGATGTAGACAGAGGCTTCTCGATCCATCACAGCCGACCACAAACCGCAAAACATTCTGGGAAATGCAAAAACAACACACGCACCGTGCGTAGCATCCATGGATCTGACAACATGTGCGGCGGCAGAGGCAGTGGACACAGAGACCCGATGCATTCGGCAAAAGCAAGAGAGAACTTTTTCCTCTGGGAGGCTCTCTGATAGCCGCACAGACCCGTCACGGGGACACAAGACACTTGATAAAAAGCCAAAATAGGAGCTAAACCAGGACTAAACCTGGACTAAACCAGGACTAAACCAGGATTAAACCAGGATTAAACCAGGACTAACAATGGGGGAGACTGCTTGTGAACATATTCCTCTAGCCTCGTTCCACGTCACTGTAAACCAGTGTCTCCCAAAGTGGGGTCCGCGGCCCACCAGGGCGGAGGGTACTGCAGGGGGGCCACGGGAGGTCATAAAAAAATAATAATAATATAATTATTTAATGTTAAATTTATAATGTTTTGTTTGTAATATTAAAATATTTGTGTTCATTATTTGACTTGAATAATCCACTGTAATCATTTTTGTATTACAATGTTTGTAGCAGAGGCTATTTCCCCAAAATAAAATAACCAGAAGAGCCTATTCTTAATGTTGTCTTCTTGGTTATTATTTTGGGGGGGCCACGCAGACCCGTCAGATTTTTAAGGGGGCCTCGGTGTTACTGAGTTTGGGAATGGCTGCTGTAAACAATGCTACCAACGTGTGTTAGCCGACACCAAATGTATTTTTTTAGGTAAAAAAAACAATCAATACATTTCTTTATTGACCAATATGAATGACTTATATTGTGATATAGTTTCCAGCCATATCGCCCAGCCCTAGTGATGATGCTGTGTCAAAATGTGAAAGAGTTCAAGCTGTGCAGACAAGGCCTTGTGTCTTTATCACTAAATATGTCAAATACTGAACAGTCAAAAGTGTTCTTTTTTCAGATTTTTTTCTGTTACAAGACCCTTTCTGACAAACTTAAACAGAGAGCGAAGACCATGTCTACTCACCGCCAGACACGGGTTTATGTCTTCGTTCCGCAGCTTTCTGGTATTTTTATCCATTTGAACCTGGACACAAAAGACACACCGGAGAGTTAAAAACCAAATAACAACCTATCCACTCATCACAGAGCAAAATGAAAGCAAATGTGACATGTTGAAGTTAGCAAAGCGACCAACTCTGCAACTGTGATACAGAAAATCTTTCCAGATTATCATTTGTGGTCTAATCATTGAGTGTCACGATTTATGGAAAGATTTAGGTCGCCCTTAGAGATCTCCCTTTCCACTTTTTGAACAAAACACTCTGATCTTATATGAGAAACACGTATCACCAGATGTTTGACGATTAGGAAGACCAATAGTTTTGATGATCCACCCGAAGTAGAAAATCCTCATATATATGTCTGCTTTGAAAATGTGTAAATGAGTTATATTTCTCTTGCTACAATCATCCACATGTTTTGTTATTGGTAGTACATTTTAAAGAATTTGCTCAAGAAGGGTTGGCACAAAGAGAGATACTACTTTGTAAGCCTTTCAAATTCTTTTCTGCCATTATTAATATGTTCCCAGTAGAAAGTTATTTTCAAATAAGGATTTGGAAAAACATTTGGACATGATCTTTTCTACATTTCTTTCAATAATGTACAGTATTTGGCACCAAAGCTCTAAACAAAGCGGGAGACAAAAAAAGTTAAACACAGTGTGAATGAGAGTCTCTGCAGGTCGTTCCTTCTTGCTGCTGTCAGACTGTACAACAAACAGAGGACTAACAAACACTTCTGACCTGACCTTACATGTCATACTTCTGTGCAATGACTGAAATAATGTCAAAATGTGCAATATAGAACCACTGTGACCATGTGTCCAGTTACTTCACTGAGCCGCTGTGTCCCAGACCCTCGTGCTGTTAATGTACAGATGTAAACATACAACTTTACATTTCTTGCAATAGAAAATACAGTATTTCGTTTTTTTCATTATGCTTGAGTTAGAGATTTTATTTTAGCACATAGTTAAAGTTCATTTATCTTGTGGTGATGCAACACTGACATTTCTCCACAATGGGACGAATACAGGCTCTCACAATCTCTTAAAGCTCATATATTGCAAGGTTAGATTTATTCTGTGTCAAATGTGGGAAAATAGTTATTGAATAAGGACGTAGTGCACAGACTCATAACAGAGGTCACACACGCTGGAGGTGTTTCTTACCGCGGGTCTGTCACTGCAGCATGAGGCCGTCAGAGCTCGGTCCGTGTCCCGTGCGTGTCCTCTGAGCGCTTACGAGAGCAGGACATACCCCCGTGAGTGTGTGTGTGTGTGTGTGTGTGTGTGTGTGTCCCCTGTTCTCTGTACCAGCTGCTCCACCAGGATGAACCGGGACCGGGCTGAGAGAGGCGTCACAACCGGGAGCAACAGTCCGCACAGCGCTCCTACCGGACCGGAGCCGCGCCAGGGCTCCAGGCTCCAGAACCAGGAGCGCGACTTCAACACACACATCCTTTTTGCAGCTTAGAATAGTATAGACACGTAGCACTGTGGTCAGTTGAATAATCTGACGTATTATGTGAATGATAAGGTATTACGTCATGCATTGAAACGAGATAAACTTGTGTAAACAGCTTAACCGACCTTTAAAAACGTGAAAACCAACACTCTCGGACTGGACAGCACTCCACACAAGCAGCTCTGGTGGACAGTTTCCCTCTTCCATTTTGCATTAATTATTAGTTCGTGGCTAAAGATGAGGCTACAAGTGTGTGTGATATTCGATAAAACAATGTTGAGTAAATACATATGTGGATAATTAACTCATATGCTGTCGTTTACTTACATCCCCATTTAAGAAGCCTCATGGATCACATAAGTTCTGTAAGTAGTATTCTACTGAAGTTCCCCCGCACTGTGCTTTTCTGTAAAAAGCTCCAAAACTGACGGGCACACGGACCAATAGGAGTGCGCCATGCTCCGTCTGCACGAGCGCATCTGCTGTTGCAGCCAATGGGCGAAGGCCTCCACGGCCCCTGAGTTCTGGCCATAGATATATGCACGGACCGCACATGTGGAGCAGTATCCAGTGTGCAGTAAACGGAGGTTCCACTGCTTCCGCCACAGGCCACAGGCGTCCGGCTGCACCGCGGACAGAGGCCGAGAGGCTTCAGGGACACAGGCAGATCGTATCGGCCGGAGGGACGCCGCTCTGCATGTTCTCTGCTCTGATTGGTGTGTTTCCCTGTCAATCATCTGCTCCTCACACGCACTGAGAGAGACGGCATTTGTGTAGAAAATAAACTGCTCTTTCTATTTACCATCCTTGATGTAGGCCATGGCATAAGCATCATGTATGAGTCTGGTGTGTGTGTGTGTGGGAATGGTTGGTGGTATAGGCGGAGGGGCTGAAGACACAGATTAGTAAAACTGCCCTGTCCCAGGGCAGCTGTGGCTACAGTTGTTTGCTACTACGATGTACGGCGTGAATGAATAATGCCATTAGCGTGGTTATTATCAATTCAATTTATCTTTGTATAGCCCTAATCACAAGACATCTCAGGAGACTGCAAAGTTGCCGATTCGCCAACACAGGTCAGAGAAACAAACAGTTCAACCGCAGGCAATGCAATGATAAAAGCACATAGAGACATTGGTCGGGGGCAGATGACCAATGTTGTCCATAAAGGTTAACTAATGTCCATAAATACCCTGTCCTGAGACCCTCCTGCATCGAATAAAAACAACTCAAAAACCCATGGGAAATGGACAGGCAATATCCAGGACTCAGGCTGTAGAATGAGTAGAGAGGCCATGCGGCTCCCATGACTCTGGATTGGAGGAGACGGTCCGCATAGCAGGTGCCAATGAAAGAGGTCTATTTAGGGGTCCCAACTACGCCATCAAACAAACAATGGGACAGCAGGTGGATAGCAATGAACAGACTACAGCTGAAGTCATAATCAATAAAGTCTCTTATCTTATAATGATCACATTAGTAGTTGTAATAGTAGAAGTAATACCTGTAATGATCTGTAATGATATTTTTGGAATTACTCCAGCGCAGAGAATCGTTCAAGGTCCCGTTCTGGACCTGAGAATGGACTTGAGGATGAACCCGTCTGGACCTTGCAGGACTTGCAGGACTGTTGTGCTCACGTTCCTGTTCAGCACTTTGACTTTTGCTTTGTTTTGACTGATGTGTTCTCCAAAAAACACAAATATATTTGGGTGAAGTGAAGAAAGCTGTAATAAACGTGATATACGCTCACACTCACAGACGCGCGTCCCTCTGGCCGCTACATTCAGCCAGCTGCGTGCGGGGCGTGGCCACAGCCTGCGGGGGCGTGGCTAAGGGTAGTTTGGCTGCACCGCAGCGCATACACAATGGCTGCTCGAAAGAGGGGAAAGCAAACAATTTTCAGGCCCGCCGCGTCTCGCAAAAAATATGAGAAAAAAATTATTAAAAATTCGGAAAATAGTTGAAAGTCCAGAAAAACTCTACCGAAACGATGTTAAAGCATCCCGGGTAAGTTTGACATAAATTACGTGAGCGGTTACGTTGTATTTGAATTAAAATCTCGGGGTTATTTGAATAGGGAGAGCGGGGTGAGCTGGGGAAAAAGTTAGTGTTAATCAGCAGTGAGTTTGAGAGCAGTGAGAGACGCGAGGACGCACAGGACACTTCTGACACAGGGAAAGTTCCACACACTGAGGCTGGAGCTGAGCGCAATAAGCACGGCATGGAGGACTGCGGGATGACAGCGTCTGGCACGGGCTCCGATGCACTGGCGCGGTGTCGGGGTGCCTTGTCCCCCGTCCCGCTGTCCCCTGGTCCCTCAGCCGGGTCAGTGTGTGTGGTCAGGGGGAGCACATGGTGCACAGTCCCCGCACATGACACTTTTTAAAGGGATGTCACTTTTTCAGTTTCAGAATCACAATTATTGTACGGAGAGAAAATGCGATGCAAAGATTTTTTTAACGTGTATATACCTTTATCCCACTGCCCAATATGTTATTATGTCTTTAGCTAGGAGCCGCTTGGGCCAATGACAAACGGAGCCTAACTGTTGGTATTGCAAACTTATGAGCTGATCTCTCTTGAATGTCATTATTCCTGAATTATCTTTCCTTGCAATTAAACTGTGACGGTCTATATTCCCAATGTTACATCACAGCTGCTGTAGATGTTTTCCATGCAGTTTGCTAAATTAAGTATTTTCATAAAGACTGAAGAAGTTTACTCACTTTTGATCGTATGCAAAATAAGGAAGAGCCGTGTGAGTCACTATCTGCCTCTTGTGGCTGAGAGCTGATGTAACTTTCCACCTTGATAAACATTCTGTGTGTGAATAGTGATGCTGATACAGGGATGACTTACATGCATTCAAACATCTACAACGTTATGTTCCAAGTGCACAATTCAGGACGTAAATCAGACCAAACAGGCCTACACAGCAAAAACGGCTGAGTAAAATTTCCAGAGTCATTATTTTTTTCCTCCAATTGAGTTCTTTTTAAACATTTTAGAGTAAAATAACCTCTAGCGGCCTCTAGAGTGCGAGTGATTTTTCAGAGATGATCAGAATCTCCTCGATTGGAGTAAATGAGGCCCCGCCCTATGTCCCGCCCCCAAAACTCAGGTCTTGAGCTTCTGAACCGCCGCCATGACAGTTTCTCGCCGGACACTAGCAGACGGAGTGTGGAAACCATGGATGTACTCATTTCTTACTACGTCATGGATAGTCAAAAGGATACAAGGTGAGTCTAAATGCGTATTTAAAGTTTGTCACTTTTTTCAGTTTCATTTAGTCCATGCTGTTATCGCGGTGTACATTTGGAACACAGTTGTGTCTTGTGAAAGCTGCTAGCTTAGTGCTGTTACAAGTTACAAATACTGATATAGTGTTACATCTTCTGGCAATCATATGTGGTTGGAGTTGTACAGAGTTTATTAGTAATGGATTAATATACATTCAAAATGTAGAATTTGTTAAACTTATGTTAATTAGTTACTCAAATTTTGCGTCACTGCAACACATTCTTTGAGCTATTTTTTAGTGTGTGTATGTGTTACTTTATTCAAATCAATCTGTATACACTGAATACATTCTATTGTAAAACGCCTGTTGTGCTCCGGTGACGTAGACAGACGACCGCGTGTATTACTTTGGTGCTTTAGCATGGTTTCTCATGGGTTAGAATGGGCAAGTATTTGACACTGGGCATGAGCTATGGTGGCGCGTTAGCATTGTTGTTAGCATTGTTGTTAGCATTGTTGTTAGCATTGTTGTTAGCATTGTTGTTAGCATTGTTGTTAGCATTGTTGTTAGCATTGTTACAGACAGCGCAGCACATGGAGGTGACTCTGACATGAGTAGTTTTGTTGTTAGCATTGTTACAGACAGCGCAGCACATGGAGGTGACTCTGACATGAGTAGTTTTGTTGTTAGCATTGTTACAGACAGCGCAGCACATGGAGGTGACTCTGACATGAGTAGTTTTGTTGTTAGCATTGTTACAGACAGCGCAGCACATGGAGGTGACTCTGACATGAGTAGTTTTGTTGTTAGCATTGTTACAGACAGCGCAGCACATGGAGGTGACTCTGACATGAGTAGTTTTGTTGTTAGCATTGTTGTTAGCATTGTTGTTAGCATTGTTGTTAGCATTGTTGTTAGCATTGTTACAGACAGCGCAGCACATGGAGGTGACTCTAACTTGAGTAGTTTTGTTGTTAGCATTGTTGTTAGCATTGTTACAGACAGCGCAGCACATGGAGGTGACTCTGACATGAGTAGTTTTGTTGTTAGCATTGTTACAGACAGCGCAGCACATGGAGGTGACTCTGACATGAGTAGTTTTGTTGTTAGCATTGTTGTTAGCATTGTTGTTAGCATTGTTACAGACAGCGCAGCACATGGAGGTGACTCTGACATGAGTAGTTTTGTTGTTAGCATTGTTACAGACAGCGCAGCACATGGAGGTGACTCTAACTTGAGTAGTTTTGTTGTTAGCATTGTTGTTAGCATTGTTACAGACAGCGTAGTTGACTTTGGATGCAGTTTTAGCTATGTTTGCCACATAAACACTATTACTGTTACAACAGTGACCACATGTGTGTACTAAAATTGTTTTATATGTCTCCTTAGATGAATGCTGAAGTGATGTGCAGCGATCCACAGAAGTACATCTGCTATGAAGGGCAGCTTTGTTTTGCGTTATTCTTAAAATGTAGTAAGTGGGAAATATGTAATTATCTTTATAATGCCCCTGAAGCTAAAGTAAAATGCTTTGATAATATTACATTGTACTCCACTCTGAAATGCCTTGATACTTGTAAACAATCATAAACATACATTTGTTTTTGCAGTTGCAAAATAAATGGATATTCCAACTTTCAAAGTCTATGATGAGACGAAGACTGAGGTTGATGAAGTATTTGAATTTCTCCTCAAGAAGGAGCGTTTGGGTGTGCTAGATGTTTGTTCACCAAAGGGTGTGTGTTTTTTAAATAATTAATTAATTTAATGCTGTATTTTCATATATTAAGGTTTTTATTTTGACAACTATGACTTTATGTTGCAGATGGGTTGAGCTCCCCAAAGTGGAGATACCGAGGTTGACTCTGAGGACGCGATCATAGCAGTTTAGACCTGCTTCAGTCCATAGAACTGAGGAGGTTCGTCTCTCACATGTGAGCTTGATGGTTATATATATATGCACCACACTATGTAGCTGATTAAGTTATTTTATCGTTACCATTGTAAACACTTTGTTTTATGTTTCCAGATTGAGAGCATCCCAAAGAACAAACCAGGAGGAGATGGAATCTTAAGCGATTATGCTCAAAAGCCTTACAGACAGCAGGAGACGTGATATGGTCAACATTTTGGTTGTGCATATGACAAATGAACATGGTAAAACATTGCTAATTTTGAAAGTTTCACTGTTTCATAACTAAAATATAACCTATTATTTTAAAGAAGTCCTTCAAGGCGTGTAAAAGACGAATATGCCAGAGGAATTATTGCCTTGTTATCTCTGTTTGGCAGATCCAAAGAGCTAACTTGGTATGATACTTAACTCCTCTGAACATTTGTATCCGAGTCATTCACAGGCATGTTGTCAAACTATGTTTTTATTTCAGGAGCACTATTACCGTTTTTCTGGCTGTGTCCTATGGTCCCAAAAGGACACCATTACCAAAAGGTTAGTTAAAGACTGTTGAGTTATTCTGTTGGAAAAGGTAAATTATTTGTATGTTTATTTGTCTATAGGTGGTCCGCATGCTAACTGAGATACCTTCAAGGGGAAGATTGATCTGTGCTGGCAGAAAGTCTATTCTGTGAAGCAATTGCTCTCATGAAGCACACAATGGATGAAGCCATAGTCAAAGAGAAGATGAAGCAGACATGTCACTATCGTCAAAATATGGTCCTGAAAAATCTCTCGGTCTTCACAATGTTTTCAAGATTTCTGGATATATCAGGACTGGTAAGTCACCTTAAATATTGATATTGTTAATGTTGTATCAACATTTCATTATGTCTTTCGTTATAAAACAGATAGAGCAGGACTTCAGACTTACAGTATGCTTGATGATGCTACTTCAACAAAATTAGCCAATTGTCTGCAATCAAGAATTAAAGCTGAGTCCACCTCTAAAGTTGAAGGTGAGTTTTTTTATATTGGTGAAAATGGATCGTGTCACAAACACAGTAGATGACTTCCGTTTGATCTTTTTCAGGCTGGGGCAATGACATGTCTTCTTCTTCTACTTCACCAGACATGTCTGTGACCATCTCACTGTTTCTCAAGGTAAGGTCACCTCGCTTTTTCTAACTTTTTGGAAGGGCTTCATTATTAACGTATGCTTGTTAATTTTCTAGACTGGGACCAGCATTCAAGATCATCTGCACGGAATCACAGAAAGGCATCAACCCTAATATTTGGATTTCTGTGTCAACAGTGTGCATGTTCACAAATGGAATGAGAATTTTCTATTGAGCAAGTATTTGGTGCCAAATAAAAGGGTATGTGAAAAAATGTTTGATCTTTTTGTCATATTTCACATTTTTAGGAGCTTGTGGAGAAACTATCACTCAAAATTGGGTTCTTTTTAGGGAGTAAATTACTATGGAGTAAATATATAGTTCCTCAAGTAAGAGTAAAAAATAGAGTGAGAGTCAATTGAAATTTACTCTATATAGAGTGAAATGTACTATTAAACAATTACTCAGAATTGAGGAATGTTAACTCTTTTTAGGGAGTAAAATACCATGGAGTAAATTTATAGTTCCTCTCGCAAGAGTAAAACTAGAGTAAGAGTCAATTTAAATGTTCTCTGCAGAGAGTGAATTTTACTATTAAAGAGTAGAATTTTTACTCTAAATTGAAGAGAAATTACTCCGATTAAACGACTCTATCAAAAGAGTTAATTTGACTCTTTTTAGAGAGGGACCAAATGTTATCAAAAATGGAGTTAAATTTTCCTCAATTTGAGTAAATTTTACTCTAGCGATTTTACTGTGTAGATTAGAGCACATCGCCGTCTGCGGCTGCTTCCACCACACACAGGCATCTTAGACTGCCTGCTCCCACCTCTTATGAACATGTTGAGTTGTTGTGGCTTGACCATCTCTGCCCTAAAGTCTGGTGTGAGTTCTCCCCGCTCCAAACCCCCCCCCACAGGCTGACGGGGGGAACTGCATCTTCAGGATTGATAATAGCCATGTAATTACACGTGCGTTTACAAGTTTAGTCCTATTTACCATGGATCCGAGTTGTGTGTTATAAGCGCGGGTGCATGGTCTGGCTGGTTACATGAGTGTGTGAGTTTGAGCATTGATCAAGGCTTTACAATAGGCTCTTTCTATTCCAAATAGAATACATAAGTCTATTCGGAATAGTGAACCACAATAGTGAACCACAAATGCTCTTATTGGTGAATGCGTGTTTTAGATGCAGCAGGGTCTAATGATAGTGGTGATGATCCAGGACATAGGATTAAGGACATTTATGGACATATGGACATTGGTCATTGGCCCCTTATGGACCAATGGCTCTATTTGTTTGTTATTATTGCATTATGTGTGTTTGATTCTCTGATCTGTGTTGGCGAATCGACAACTTTGTCAAGTCCTCTGAGACGACTGCTGATGTGATTTAGGGGTATCTAAAAATGAATTAGATTGAATTGAAATGAATTCGTATTTTGGATTAGAAGTTCAGTAGATTTTTACAGAAAGTTTAAGTTTGTCTTTGATAAAGTAAAGTAAATATAGAAGATAAAAAAGGTTTGCCATCTGACTGTGATGCTGGAATATGTGCTGTGATTTATTGATGATAGATTGATCAGGCTGCTTTTTATCTCGCAAGGGAAAATTCAGCTGACCAAACAGTGGCTACAGCATAAACAGACACTAAACCAGGGGTGTCCAAACATTTTAGTAAAAGGGCCACTTTAGTTCACCAGACTAGTACAGGGGCCGACATCCCGGACTGAAAAACTGTCTTGTCTGGCATCGGGCGGTTCTGAGCTTTAAAATGATCTATAACGGAGCTGAAATTGGCTTCATGACAAATGTTTACCATCTCACCATCTCACAAGTCAACGTCTGAATTCCAGACGTCCTAGACTTTAGAACGAGCTACAACATGTCTATTGACCAGATACATCGACTCCATCCAGTCAAGTGATTGTGCATGAACTTACGGCGGAAGTAGTGGAAACTAGCATTGCGGCAAGAGCAAAACGGACTACAACTCTTTAAAACTGAGACTCTGCTCCTCAATCTAGAAGTGGCTGCTTCAAGCACATGTTCAATTACGTTATTGATGGAAGTAGGACATCTTGTCAGGGCTCACAAAGAGCGGTATTTGGAGAAATTAAGGAACGCCAAACTGGATGTTGACCTGTACCTTCTCCCCACAGTCAATTTTAGCGATTAAATGAAATATCAAATTTTGCCTGAATTCACCCCACATTATCTTTTTCATTATTTCATTAACAATGCATCCCCTTTCACTGGAGCAGATTTAAATGTACATTTAGCTGGTAGCATTAGTACATTAGCAATAGTCCACTTTTTTGTCTACAGCCAAACATGATACATATTGATGAAGAGGAAATGGGTGCAAAACTCAACTGACGTCTAAGATAAGAGATCCTTTATTCGTCCCACAGTGGGGAAATTTCAATGTTGCAGCGCACGGACAGTAGAAAGAGCACATGTGTCATTGTCCTCCAAATAAATGAATGGAAAGAAAAAAATACCAATTTGTCATTGATTTATCTTGTAGAAAGGGTACACTACAAATTCAGGAGTACTTGGACGGCTCCCAGTCTGTTTGGTTGATTGCCGCTGGCCATCGTCGTCTTCTGTCTTCATGACAAGCAATTATCAGATAAAAAGACACATTTGGCTTATGTTCTTGCCTGTTAGTCCAACCAACCGCACTGCACAATGTCACAGCTTTGGCTGTTATGTGGTGAAACAGGTTGTTTTGGTCAAGTTTCCACAGGCGAGCCTTTTGCTGTCTGTCATGATGAGTGGGCGTGGCCGGGACGTCACATGCAAGGGGTCAATATTGGCTGAGCTGAAGTTGGATGGATGATACAGTGAAATTGCGTCTATGATCTCAAAGACTACTTTGGGTTAGGGGCTACACAAAAGGACACTGAGGGCCGCAATTGGCCTCCGGGCCTGAGTTTGGACATGCCTACACAAGACATTTACATAGAAAATCATATCAGATGCGTGGCCAGCTCGTTCTCCTTGGGCATGATGGTTGGGTTCTCAAACAGACACACCTTAGGTCGAGGTGGAGCTCTGGAAGGACAGGCTGGTGCTGACGTCCAGATCTCCCTGACCTTCACCAGAGGCCAGGGTGCTCCTGAGGTGTTCTCGTGATGCTTCCACTTTCTCTGCCATGGTTCAGTGCAAACCCCTGAATGCTGTACCGGAAGATAATCTACAGATGACAAAATAATAACGGATTCAAAATGTGATGTGTTCTTAGCAAAAGTGGAGTCACATTTAAGTCCTGTTTATGGGACTAGTTTTCAGAAAAGACGTTCTGCTGCTGGATAGAACTTGCTGTGAGTAGTTCACATTTATCTGCTCTCTGTCACAGGCCACTGGGCTCGGAGCGCTCTGACTTCCTCAAACTGGAGACACTCCTGTAAAAGCCATGGCCACCGGAGCCCGGGCCCCTGGAGCACAGACCCCTGGAGCTCAGGCACCTGGAGCCCAGGCCAGAGGGGAGCAGCTCCTGGAGGTGTCCAGCGGGAGGCGCAGCAGAGCTGAGGGCCAGCCCAGGAAGAACTTCTGCTGCCAACAGTGTGAGAAGGCCTTCAACAGTCTGGAGAAGCTCAAGGTGCACTCCTACTCCCACACGGGAGAGAGGCCCTTCAGCTGCTCACAGCCAGACTGCTCCAAGGCCTTTGTGTCTAAGTACAAGCTGCTACGGTACACACACACACACACACACACACACACACACACACACATGCACACGCGCACACACACACACACACACACACACACACGTTTTTGTTACCTGGTGGGTCCCTTTGACAGGGCCGTTCAGAATGGGACCCATAGACATAATCTTTTTTTACCAAGACTTTAAGTAATACAAAACAGTCAATAGAAACCAAACAACTATTTTAAAGGAATTTTATTTTAGATTTTGTTTTCGAATTGCAGTGATTCTATTTTTGACATAGAATTTAATGCCACTCCATGTCCGATGTCTAAGGTCATCTGGTGAGGCATTAATGCAGGCCAGGCAGTGAGACTTCCCAGGGACCTTTCCAGTCTGTATGAAAGGTGTCATGGTCTTCTCCACAGCCTTCACCTCAGATGCAGACCATGGCTTTCTTACACGTTCTAGGGAGAGAAATAAAAATATATTAGCAATATACACTCCCAGGGTGAGGACCAAGCAGCCTGGCTGTAATCCCCCACCTGGTACACTTACCAGAAGGGGCACTGCCACTACCATGGGGTGCATCTGGATGAATGGTTGAAGGTTCTCCGCTTGAAGTTTCTTTTAGCCCGTCCGTTTGTGAGAGGATCTCTACTGCTCTCCCTGTCGCACAGAAAATAAAAATACAAGTGGCCTTTAGGGGAAAAAAATCATACATATTTTAATAATATCAAGAATTACCTTCAGGCTCAATTTGTATCTGGTCGAGGCTCTTTCCTTCGAATTCCGTCACTCTTCCCTGCTCCATGGCCATCAACACTTTGCTGATTTTGGCCAGCTCCAGTGTCCCCTCTGGTAGTCTGTAATATTGCCTGTGGATGCGAATGTCATGGCCGAGGAAGTTGGCAAGTATGTCCATCTCATTCTCTTTCATATTGAGAACTGTAGACATAGTAGCTATGTGCTTTCTAAGTTTGGTTGAGGATAGCATCTCTGGATGCACCGCACCACATTCTTTGGCTACCTGGCGTAGGGAGTCTGATCCCCTGATGTGGGTGTCTGCGCCCGGGCGGGAAAAGAAGTATGGGTTATGGTCAGAGATGGAACAGGCCCTTCTGTTCTCCACCAGCACCTCCATCGAAGCAATCATTTCAGGAGTCAAAAGAACCGGCACTTTCCGACTTCTTTTCCCTTTAATTTCAATGCGTTGAAAATGCTGACACAGCTTTTTCTCAAGTTGGGACAGTCCCAGAGCAATGTCAGAATGGATCCCAGTCTTACTTCTTAAGGTAAAGGCTGTCAGTGGCATCTTTGAAACCTCACCTTCCCTTCTTCGATTGAAAATAATGACCTCACAAAGAGTCCAAACTGCCAGTTTAGACCAATGCTTAGACGTTGGCTCACTTATTAGGGTTTGCACATATTCAGGTCGACATACCTCAATATGTGCATGCATGGCTCTAACGTCCTCAGTCAGAGGGAGCAGGTCCGGAGTGTTCCACTTGGCTTGCCGGAGGGTCTGTAGGGCAGCAGAAGAAACACAGACGTCCCACCTCTTCTCAAAAAGCAGCCGGCTTCGTTGGAGGTTTTTAATAAATAGTTCATCAACACAATGCTCCATTTTTGAGTCACATTCAAGAATATCTGCTAGCTTTCTGAGGCTATGGCCGAGTTTGAGGGCCAAGGATGGAGTCTTGTATTGATTTGTTTCCTCATCATATCCAGCCACAGACCTGACTGCATCAATCACATGGTTAAAGTTGGAAGGAATAAAGAAATCCTTAATTGTTTTCAGTTTCCCTGCGGTTTTTGCTTCGTTAATTAACCTACCGACTTCTCTCATTTTCTGCCTAATGTAATCATGCTTAGTCTTATCATGCCCGTGTTTTAAGTACAGGTGCTCTCCGAGTCTCAGAATCCCCTTTTCTGCTTTGACAACACCCGTGACCTCATCCTGATGCATTGCCGAAATTAAAGACCACAGCTTTTTGCTGATGCCCTCCGGTACAGGCTGGGCTAGGGAGCAGAGGGACTGGACCCTACTTCTACCTGGTTTAGCCTGGGCATCTTTCTGTGAAAGCCGGCACCTGGCCACATGCCTCCACAGCGACTTTCGCTTAAGCAATGCCCCACAGTCTATACAGTGCAAAAACTCACTGGATTTAACTGGGGAATTTGGCTGTTTAGCTGGGACTAAAGTTCCAATGCCGGCCTTTAAAACCTCAAAATTGTGCTCACGGTTTCCACTATTCCTGATCAAATCAAACTGAAGTTTACGTGCTTTAGATTTCACAGGTAGAGCCAATGCTCTGGCTACGTCACTTTCATTTCCATGTTTTCTAGTCAAATGACGGGACATTTTGTGGCAGGACATTGAACAGTAGAGGCAGAAGTGTCTCTTGCTGTAAACTCGCCCCCCATTTTTCTTCTTTTGCAGCTGCATGATAACAATCTTATTTGCCTTTGGTTCGTCACTTTCCGAGTCTTGAAGAAAAGTGTTTTTGATTTTTCTTTTTCCATACTTTTTTACAGGTTTCTTCTTGACAGTTAAATCGTCAGAATCTGAGTCGACTTCATCAATTAGGGACTCTTGACTAAGCTGCACAAACAACAAATAATTTGTAATCATTCTATATAACAATTTGAAGTCATGACTTGTAGTCAGCACTTACCAGTGGTTTGTAAGCGTGCGCTTCAGTGTGCTCCTCCATGATTTCTTGCAGCCTAATGAACCACACACTTGCACCTTTTTCTAGCCTGACACCTGATTTCCTCTGTTGTGCTGCTCCATGATTGGCTCCAGCCTCTGTTGTGCTGCTCCATGATTGGCTCCAGCCTGCTGGACTGAAATTGCCCCAGTGTGCCCCTCCCTGATATCCCGCAACCCACCACCAGGGTTCCGACACATAACACACTTTTTTCAGGAAAGTAAACCTCCAGGGGTCCTTTCCATATTTTTACAGAGACTGCATAAGGACCGTTAGAAAAGCATTACCCATTGATTATTAAGCTTGGACCAGTGGGGTCCGGTGTTCGGGCCCCACCACGTAAAACCAGTCCCCATGACGTGAGTGGAATCTCAGGTTATGGAACCCACCAGGAGTTGAAAACAAGTGCACACACACACACACACACACACACACACACACACACACACACACACATATCTAAAGCCAAAACACAATAGTGGGTCTGTCAGAACATGACATCACATGAATTCAAAGTATACAGTGTGATAACCTGTTGGAGTTGCTTATGTTCTGTAAAAATCAGTTTTACAATGAAGTCTAATCTTTCTTTGTTGAAAGCTGTAAAAGGTCATAAAACCCCTGTTGCTACTGTCCCAGCTTTGGCCAAACTGAGACAATTAGGAGACAAACAAATCTCTTGTCTATTGAAGACTGAATGAATCTCAAATGTACATCACACAAAACATTAAGAGGGTCTCAGTGGAGACACATCGCAAACATGCAATGGTTTGTGATGTGTTGAACTGTATTGATCCCAAGTCATTTCCACTGTAGTTTGTCAATGCCTCGACTTTTAGCAGGTTGTGCTTGTTTATGCTGATCTGTATATTGGGGGGTGGTGGGATGTTGTGGGGGGGGGGGGGGGGGGGGGGGGGGGGGGGGGGGGGGGGGGGGGGGGGGGGGGGGGGGGGGGGGTAATAAATGGTGAAATAAATTTAAATGTGTTGGGGGGGGGGGGGGGGGTTTTTTGGGGGGATTTGGTATTGGGTGGAGTGTAAGAGAAAGAATGTGTGGTTGAAGGTGGGGTGAATAGATTGGAGTTGAGGTGTGGGTGGGGGTGGGGATATATGGGGGATATATATAGAGAATTGTTGATGATCTTGGGGGATGTAAGGGGTTTTTGGGAATGAGTTTGTAAAAAGGTTGTTAATAAAAAGAATATCAAATAGTAAAGATATTTGGAAGATGGGGATTTTGGATAGGAGAATTAAAGTAATATACTTAATAAGAGAAATATTAAAAGTATAAGATAAATATGTAATGGTAATAGAAGGGGGGAGATTGAAGGAAAGAATAAAAAGAGTATAAGATTGAATAGATGATTGTAAGAATAAGAATTATTGTATTTTGAAGAGAGAGGGGTATAGGAGTGAAAGAGTATTAAATAATTGTAGTAATGATATTGGTGGGATAAAGGAATTAAGGTAGGAATGGGGAAGGTAGGAGAAAAGCGATATAGAAGATTGTACTAGGTAAAGATAGGTTGATGTGTATTATAAATAAATTAGGTGAATGAGAGTGAAAATTGAAATAGATGGGTGAGGGTGAGAAATGAAAAAAAGGAAATGGATATAGAATAAAAGGAAGAAATTAAGCATATATAAGTTTAGAAAGGCATTTGGGGGTAAAGTAAATGGGGGAAAGGGTAAATGATATTGTGATGGTATTTTAGATGTAAGGGTAAATAAAGTGTGAGTAAAGATTAATATGAGTAAGAGAAGAAAAAAGTGTTACACGAAAAAATTATGGTGAGGTTTAGTTAGTGTATATTGTGGGGAGAGTGTGGAAAATTGAATGAGGAGAGGGAATCTTCACTCATGGACTTCTCTCAGCTCTTCAACTTCCTGCCTCTGAGTCAGGCTGGGGGCAGTGGGGAGGCCTCTGGGGGCTATCAGCCCAGTGAAGAGGACCAGCCTGACCCAGAGTCACACTTCATGTCCATGTGCAGTGCCCCCACCCTGCCCCGCTTCCACCAGGCCTTCCAGTGAGCACAGTGGCTCAGAAGGAGTCCCAGGAGGTGGAGGGGCGCTCCTGTCATCCACCTCCTAACAGGGCCATGCTTTTCTTAGATTCAATATCACTTCATTATGGTAGTTTTACAAATATAATATACAACAAAATTACTGAGAGAAAAACTAAGAGGTCAATTGTTTGTGAGAAATATGATAAACTCTACTGCACATGAATAGTTTGGGAGAATAAAATAGACAAACAGATCAGTGTCAGTAGGTGACTTGCAGAGGGCGCTGTGGTGTAGAGAGAGCAGTGCTGCCTCTGTCCAGACAAACCTGTGATCCAGCAGCACACTGACGTCTGGGGCAGGTCCCAGAACTGCATTCTACATATTATACTAAATTACTCAAATGAATTTGTTACATTTCTGCTATTGTAAATGTATGTGTTAGATGCCAAAAGTATTGCTACATATGAGAAATGTGATACTGCAATCTAACTTAAGTAGTAGTTGATCGCTGCTCTGAATGTGGGCCTTTGGAGGAGCTCAGTCTCTGTGGGACCCGACCACTGGTCCACTAGTACTAGTTCTGTAGCACTTTAGACTTTGTGTCCTCACCATTAATTCTCTAATGGGGAAACCATAGTTAAAACATATGTCTCCTTGAAGTGGTCCTTCAGATCTGTTCAATGTCCCGTGCTGGGCTCAGGGCTCCAGTGTAATGCTGCTGCTGCGTCTGTGCGGACATGCAGATCTTGTCTGTGAAGAACACCCAGCGCAATGTTGCACCCAAGATACAAAAGGTTGAACCTCGGGTGCAACATTTTGTGTTAAAAAAATACAGTCAGCTCCATAAATAGTGAAACATTTACATAAATAGGATTTGTTTTACCACATTGAATTTGAAACTAAATGTACTGGTAATGAAGAATGAGGATTTTTCTTTCTCAATCAGGGGATTATTTTTGGAATTACAACAGTGTTTATGTGTGACTCCGACCTTTTGAGTTTTGAGACAAAATAATACTCTTTTATCAAACTTTAAGATATGCACATTTTTGCTATACTTTTTCCCCCCATGGGTAAAATCCTCCAGCTAATTAGTGTACCCTAACACTAACCCTTACCCTAACCAAGATGGGGTTAGGTTTATGGAAAGTTAATAGTTAGTTAGATGTTAAATACGGCCATGAAGAATAATGACTTATAAGTGCTTAAAAAATACCAATTAAGAGCTAATTAATCATAAATCATACACTTATTAGCTCTTAATAATCTTTAATTAGTGAGGGCGTTTGTAATTCCTGACTCGCTCACCCCTGATGGAGGTAAATACCTTTGAAATGATAGAATGCAGATCAATAATATGAGCTTTTTGCCAATATTGCGTCGATATTCATGGAGCTGACTCTATTTTTGTACCAAAGCCAAGAATCTCGTCCACATGAAGATTCATAAGTGCATTAAAAATTGAACTCACCCTTGGGAGGCTGCCTTGTTAACGTTGTCTGTATATTTTAAATGGACAAAGTTGAAAAAGTCTCCGGGGTGTGGTTTTGATAAGTTAACCATAGAACTCCCAGAGCAGTCAATTCGACGGCTTTTTGCTTTGGAAGTGTTACTGCTCCACTTATGTATGTTTTTGGTCTTCATAACTTGGTGACTTTTTCTGTTTCTATATGAATTTATCTCAATCCTGGTCGTAGACTAGTTCATTCAACCTCAGCTTGGAGCATGTGCTAGTTACCATAGCAACACACTGTTTACTTGCAGCAGTGAGTATTGTAGTTTGTTGTAGTTTGGCTGTATTTCAGTTATATTAACTAGTTTTTGCCTGCATTAAAAACTTAAAGGTATATAGGAGGATTTTCTACTTCCGGGTGTCAATCGTTCTGGTCATTGTAAATTTCTCCAGTGTGAGATGAATAAAGTTGATATTATCTCATCTGATACGTGGTCATCAAAAAAGATCAGAAATGTTTGTTCTTTCCTAAAATTCGGGGAAATTCTCCTCTATACCTTTACATTTTCATAAAAGTGTTTTTTGAATGGGAGCCGTCAAAATGGCTGCTCTGGGAGTTCTAGCAGTTTCAGAATTATGGGAGTCCAAGTGTTAACAAGTTGTGGTCCATTCCCACCTGAAAATATGTTGTTTTGCATTGTACGTGTGTGTTATGCATTGTACGTGTGCGTTATGCATTGTACATGTGTGTTATGCATTGTACGTGTGCGTTATGCATCGTACATGTGTGTTATGCATTGTACGTGTGCGTTATGCATCGTACATGTGTGTTATGCATTGTACGTGTGCGTTATGCATTGTACATGTGTGTTATGCATTGTACGTGTGCGTTTTGCATTATACGTGTGCGTCCCTCTTTGCTCCAAACAAGCACACAACAATCGTATCCACCAGAAGCTAGGAATGTATCCCGCGTCCTTTCGAGTCGCAATGCGTGTCTTTATATGCTCTCCACAAAAACACAGAAGTATTTTGGTTGAATGTCTGAACTTTTCTCGTGAAGGTCTCTCTATACATGAGTGTTTTTTTTATTTTATTTTATTTTGTATTATTATTTGTTGTTGTAATCATAGCACTTTTTCGTAAACCCCATGTCTTTTTGTTTCCCCCAATACAAATCTTTATTACATATGTGTAGAAGATACAGTATATTTGGCTTTTTTAAGAGAATATATAACGTGTAAATACTATACTTTATAAAGATGTTTATTTTTGCAGGTACAATGTGGACAGTGTTTATTCTCTAAATGTTATTTTGCTTTTACTTGCACATGTTTTTGAAGGGATGCTGCTCTGCTCGTCACCCATTTTGAATCTCTGCAAACAACGTTGATCATTTCAGATTGTTTAAGGCTTAGTGTTGACAAGAGTGTAAAAACGATAGTATTACTACATGTTTGACGGTGTTTCTTATCAGTTGTTGAACACTGACCACGCCCCCTCTGATCCATCGGACAGACTGACCACGCCCCCTCTGATCCATCACTCTGACCACGCCCCCTCTGATCCATCAGACTGACCACGCCCCCTCTGATCCATCACTCTGACCACGCCCCCTCTGACCCATCACTCTGACCACGCCCCCTCTAATCCATCAGACTGACCACGCCCCCTCAGACCCAACAGTGGCCTTACCTGCATGTGAAAGCCAGATCCCGTCAGACCTCTCAAGCTAAGCAGGGCAGGGATTGAATGGTACTGTGATGGGAGACCTCTGGGAACACCTGATGCCACAGTGGGGCGGCTGCAGCTGTAAAGTGCCAAACTGTTTTGATGTCCTTAGGCAAGACACTCTACCCACATTGCCTAAAATGAGTCTGGTGTGTGCGTGTGAATAGTTGGTGGTTGTCGAGGCCGATGGCACATACTGGTTGCCTCGCTTCTGTCAGTGTGTCCCAGGGCAGCTGTGGCTACAGTTACGGAGTGAAAGAAGAATGACATGTGAAGCGTCTTTGAGTATTATTATTCATTATTATCAGAATGACCACGCCCACTCAGATCCCCCAGACTGACCACGCCCCTTGTCGCACTGAGGTCTCTGAAGAAAGTCCCAATACAAGTGTGAGGCAAGGTGAAGGCCCCGTTGTCTCTGTTGATCGTCCGTGCACCCCCTTCCTGATTATGGTGGCCTCTTGTATCCAACTTTTGTATTCTTTTGTTATATCCGTTCCTACTCCATTGTATGATCTTTTTTGCAGTGGTTAGATATTATACATTTTTTCTCTGTTGTTTCTTCCTTAGTTGAAATTAATAGTGATACCAGCGACTAGAACATTCTAAGCCTTAAACATAAATATTGAACTTTCTTCATTTGAGACATATTATTGTTACATATTATGATTCATAATGCAAGGTGGATTTAGTTATGAGCTCACAGAAAGCAGCTTTTTTCCACGCCAGAACAAAAAGTGGACCTTTCCTTTGCTATTTCCAGACCATAGACTGAATATGACTTATTCTCCATGGCCTTGAACTCCTGAAATTCATCATAGTTTGCTTACTTGTCAATGCGTGTGGATGTTCCAAAATCACACCTCTAAATATACTTCCGATTGGTCAGAAAAAGTACAGTCCAATTTGCTGTTGACCCAAAAGTGTATCGCCATTATGCAAATATGTTGTAAGCTCTTGATGTTAAAGGAAAAGGCATTGTCAAAGAACTGAAGAAAATGTGAAAATGGTCCATTATGGGGCATTTTGTTCCGATTGGGTGAACCTTTGTTAGATCAACATGGTTAAACTGCGGTGAATCATTTGGATAAATAGTGACACTTTTGATGCTTTTCTACCTTTCAAACTGCTTCATGTAGAGTCACCCATTCACATGCACCTTCAAGAGTCCGCTGACACTGGTGCATGAAGGATACCATACAGGGCCTTTAAGGGAATATGCAGTCTATGGTCAAGCTGCCCGATTCTGAACAGTATTCCCCTGGGGATCTTTGAATGTTGGATGTAACAATCCCAAAACTGTGGATGTTTTTGTGGGACAGAAACACGGATGTAAAATATGTGTTTAATATGTGTACAGTGAATGTTTGGGACTTAACTTTAGCTGCTAACACGCGTCAAGGTGCTCCCCTCTCATCACACTGGGCCTCATTTAACAACTTTGCATTAAAACGTGCCTACCTCGCGTTAAAAAAAGTGTCCGTTCTTCAAAGTGAGCGTGGTATTTATGAATGAGTGCGCTGCCCTCTGATCCAGCTCACACGCATAAACAGCTGATGATAAATGCAATGTGAGGAAACCAGCGTCTTTTGAAGAACACGCCGCATGAGATTACGACATACGGCCTTTGATCAAAGCAGAAAATCATTGATATAAAACAGAGAAATGTGTTGGTTTGTTTTATGGAAATATGCAGGAAACGATTTATAAATTAATTGAATAAAAAGTCATGAATAAAAAAGTGTAAGTTTCCTTCAGAAAAAAAGTGCCATGTTTTTTAAATCCACAGACAGATGCATGTCATGAAATAATCAAACACAAAACTCAAAGGAATACATTGTGGCATTTGATTCTGTCACTTGTTTTAGACCTTTTTAACTACAATAATATTATGTATTTTTATTGTGGTAGTTTATGGACTTATTTAGATCTATAGCTGCCCAAACTTGATGGTTTTGGCAGCTGTAGGATTTAGAGTGCACCCTGATGAAAATGATGTAATTGTGAAAATGGTCCACTGTGACATTGTGAGTTCTTGGACTTGTTATTTGGACCTGTAGCTGCTAAAACTTGATGGTTATAACTAGTGGTGGGGTATTCTGTTCAGTATTGCGATATTTTGTAAACACAATCAAATTGATACATTAAAGCAAAGTATTGCAATATTCAATTCAATATTTTTTTGTTTCAGTTTTGTGTTTTCTCTGAGTTTATTCTGGTAATTTACATTCGCACTCCAGTTAATGCGCAGATCATAAAATGAATTGTAATATTCTGCAGAATTAAATCACGATACTTGCTGTATCGCTTCATGTTGATGATCTGCAATAATATTCAATTCTGGCCCAAATGTTGCAATATCAAATCATCACATTTTTGCCAATTCCCACCTCTAGTTTTAGCAGCTGTAGGACGAACGTTTATTGTCAAAATAGATTGGTAAATGAGTCCTGGAAACTAACCGTTAGGGTAAGCACACTAAGTTAATGTTTGCCTCCTCACAGTTCTTTGTGTTCTTCATCAAACGTTGTTCAAAAAAATTCCACAGTACAAACACCTCATCATTAAATTATGTTTTGATCAGCTATAATTGTTTTGCCCTATTAGCAACGCATCCGCCTTTGGTCAGACATTACATTACCAACCTGCGGCGTACATTCATGCGAGGCCCATTTGTGGACACAATTTACTTTCTATTCAAATGTTGCTGACGCGGTTTATATACAGGTGCACTAGTCCTGCAAATATACAGTATTTCTTTCTATTTCCATATACCTTTTGTTTTTGATGAGCGCTGGCCTGGGACAGCCTGGTACCGGAGTTCCATAACCCGGAAGAATTTAGGATTTCTTGGCATATGTTTCAAATAATATAGATTTAAAAGTTTGTTGTTGGTACAGCTCTTTATTCTCGGTCACAACTTCATCTTTCCACCAAGACTCGTTAATGTTTGACTTGTTAATATTTGACTTGTTAATATTCTCAGAAAAAGGGCTGTGTAAGAGTAGCCTAGACTTCTGAGCATAGGTCTAATTCCTGGTGGAAGTGAATCAGGCTGTTCTTGTCATAGTGTCAACAGCCCACTGTGCCTAATGTATGTTTCCTTTATAAGTGAGTATAGTGAGTGGTCAGGGGGTCACGTAGGGCTCCGCAGTCACTTGGCTGCATTCCACACATGTGCCTTGATCTACACACTCCACATACAAACTGCAGGCTCCAGTCCTCATGTAGCCTTTTGTAGATACTGTAAAGTGAAAGAGCTGTGCCTGTGTCTTTGTAACATGACATCATCCAAAGAGGCAGATTATTTATTGTCTGGCAACACTGAGTTGATTTCCACACATTGCTGCTATAAAAGGGGAGCTGCAGTTGTCAACTGTTGTGTTTGGTTGTATGTTTAATAAAAGTGAAAGAATATTCTCTGGTGTAGTGTGCTTTGTGATATGTCACCACATAACAGTGCCTCACATCCGGCTGACAGCAGCAGTGCACAGGGCTCTGCTGCTGTCAGACTGAGGACTGAAGCTGGGTCTGCACACGGGCTGAGCCTGAGTCCAGGGTCTACAGGGGTATGCTTGACGCAGAGTCAAGCAGTTTGCTCAGTCCTCACGCACACACACACGCACGGGGTGACCGCAAGCCACTGAACCCACTGACCCTGCTGCAGCGGCAGGTCCTCCGGCCAGCAGAGGCGCTGTGTGCCTTTAATGTGAGGCAGTATGGCGGCGGCCTGTACGGAGTCTGCAGAGGAGCCATGCCGTCTCCTGTGCCCGTGTCGCGGCTGCTGCCCAAAGACCTGTTCCCTAGTGTGGAGACAGGCGCCTGCAGCAGTCCTCTGTTCACTCACGGCTCCTCTCTGCACCCCCCTGTGCCGCGGCCGGGCCGCTGCTCTCGACCCTGGGCCTCCGTGATCCTGTGGGAGCATCTTCGACCGATGGGTCCGGTGGGCGCGGGGGGCTTCGGCTCGGTGTACCAGGCGGACTACATGGAGCAGAGCGTGGCTCTCAAACGGGTGCACAACTCCACGAAGAACCAGTTGGCGTCCCGCCACAGCTTCTGGGCAGAGCTGAACGCCGCGCACCTGCGTCACCACAACATTGTGCGCGTGCTCGCGGCCAGCACGTGCGTGCCCTCGTTGCCATGGTACCGGGGCTGCCTGGGAGCTGTGCTCATGGAGCTGTGCGTGTCGGACCTGCAGCAGCTCATCTATGGCCCGGATGCCCTGCAGGAGAGCCGCTGTGTGCGATACGCTCAGCACGTGACAAACGGTCTGCGTTTCCTGCACGCGCACCGCGTGCTCCATCTGGACATTAAACCCGCGAACCTGCTGCTGTCCCGGGACGACGTGGTGAAGATCGCGGACTTCGGCTGCTCCCTGCAGCTGGACAAAGGGGAGGACACCGTGTCCGCGAGCCCGCAGCTCAGCCACGTGGGCGGCACGTTCACGCACCGGGCCCCGGAGCTGCTCAGAGGGGGGCCCGTGTCGTCCAAAGCTGACGTGTTCTCCTTCGCCATCACCCTGTGGCAGCTGTTGACCCGCGAACAGCCCTACGCAGGGGACAGACAGTACGTCATCTACGCCGTGGTGGCTCACGAGCTGAGGCCGAACTGTGACACGCACGCTGTTTTCCAAGGGGTGCGCGCTCCCGTTTACCGCGGGCTCCTGAGCCGCTGCTGGAGCGCTCAGCCGCAGGACAGACCGAGCTGCGAGGAGCTGCTGGAGCTGCTGCCGGTGGTCCCCGACACGTGACCCAAAGCCTCTGGACAAACTGACTGTGATTGGATCTGCGACTGCAGGCACTTTCATTTACTGAACTTTTTAGTCTTGTCGTGAGTTGTAACTCTGCTCTTATGTTTTCATTAAACTAATTTTATATGTCTTTAACTGCCCTCTCCACCATATGCCGTATGTCACACACGAGTCGTGGGGAGTGGTCACACACTTTATTGCACAACAATGGCACAGTGTACACTGTAATACATCAGTCACAGTGAGAGCGTCTATGGGACAACACTGGGACAGCACTAACATTAAAACCCTGCAATTAAAACATTTAAACTGTCCATGGTCTGAAGAGATGGGGCCATTTTAACAACATGAACCAAAGTCAGGCACTTCACTCCACATGTAAAGTGAATACTGTGTATTGATATTGGTAAGCTCCTGAAACAACACAGATACACCCATATTACCCATTATTTTTTACAGTCTATGGGACCAACACAGTGCTGTCAAACCTGCTCCTCAGGCTGCACTCACAATCATCAAAAAATTAAAATGAGTGTTCCACAACTAACATGTCACAAACGGGGCTGACTGAGAACACAGGGTGTCAAAGAGTAAAGAGCGATATTCAATGATTACGTCAAACACCATAAAATGTTAGAAGTGAATGAGGATACTTTCTACTAATACTGGTTTTACTGCTGGTCTAACTTAGGATTATAAGATGTTGGTGCATTCATGTTAAAGGTTTAAAAGCTTGTGTATTCTCTCCAACTTCAACGGTCACTTTACAAACACCTTTATAGAGACAAGGGACTGAGGTGTCCAAGAATAAACTGGAACACGGCACAATTCTAAAGTAAAACCATGATCCTATTTGAGTCATTCTACATACATTTTGACATGTAACAAAATAATAATTCAATAACAAAGAGGTTTTGTGAAAAGGAAATAATGTAACATCCAACAAAGCTCAAAAAGACAAATTTCCACAATGTGTTCTTTAAAAATGTGGTTTAAACTCCAGTGCAGTGAATGATCCAGCTGTTGCTCCCCCTCTTGGGTCTTGAGGTGTGTGATCAGGACCCCTGGTTTTGGGGTCAGAAGAGACCAGTCCTTCAGGCTGGAGCTCAGGAGTCATTACCCAGTGAAAGTCAATACTGTTACCATGGCATATTATACGCTCATTGTTCTCAATAATGTTATTAGTAATTTTATCAAAAATATAAATGTCCACAAACAAAAAATAAAAGACTGGGTAGCTTCATAAATATTTACTGAAGCGCTTTTTTCAAAATAAATAAAAAGAGAAAATGGGAGCGGCCCTCCATAATGGGGCGATATCCAAATATGGCCCACTGAAGAAAATAATTGTCAACCCCTGTTTTAGGAGCAACTATGGCTGTCGTTAAAGATTTCACAAGACATTCAGAGATGATACTACGATAAGATTGTGCTCATGTGCGCCCTTTGAACTTTGCCGCCATGCTTACCTTCGATTTGGATACCAAATACGGTGACACATTGCGCATGTTGAAAAGCAAATAAATACAATGAAATAATTTAGTTTTAGGATTTCCCCTACTGCCTCTGCAACTCGGAGATGGATATATTCATTTATTCCTTCATTTTCTGCCCCTTTATTAGTCCATAGATGGATATATTTGTGTTCTAAATTATGCATAAACGTAAAACAATTGTCTCTAGATTAGCAGTAAGGCCTTCATCCTCTGGTTCTTGTCCCTGGTCTGGTGCAGATTCAGCCTGGTCTCATCACACTGAACAAAGCCCTCACATGATGGTGACCCTCTCAGGGGACACTGCGGCTCCCACAGGCTCCAGACGTGAGAGCCCGTCCTGCCTGTGGCTCTGCTCTCTTCCCCTCCGGATCATCCGCAGTGGTCGGGCCAGGCAGGGCAGTAGCAGCAGCCCTTTCCCCAGCACCACGCACACAGGCAGGGCCAGGGCCGGCACAAAGCTGGGCGGCAGGTAGAAGTGGTACATCTCCCACTGAAAGGCCTTCCTCCAGCCGAACAGCAGCCCGTGCAGAGTGGCGATGAGCAGAGCCATGTAGCCTAGAGTCGACTGCAACACATCACACAACCAGCAGGAGGCGTTATTTTTGTTGTCTTGGCCCTTCGATATAATCTTGAGAATATTGACATTTTGCATGTGCCATTCCCCCAGCAGTATATGGTGAATATCATTTGGAGAGACCAGTGAGCAGGTCATTGCAGTCTAACCTACTAATGCATGGATATGATTTTATAAGTCATCTGTAGACACTATATTTTTGATTATGGTAATATTTTTATTTTATTTGTTTGGAGGATAAGCCCCTAGAGTTGAAACACATACATTGCGGACAGTTCTGAGGGGAATCCTGCTTGCTATTCATCTTATATGTTTCCCTGGATAGCTGTTCTATAACATTGACACTTTCTGTAATCAACCAACCAATCTTTACCTGCAGAGCACCTTCCCTACAGAGGGCAACACAAAGCGCTTCACAGTCCACATCACCCAAGGCACAAAATCCTCACATAAAACAAACACCAAAATCACCATTAAAGTGATAGTCTGTAACTCTAAATGAATTACAAATTTTAGGAAATGTGCTAAATTGACCTCCTGGCCTTAAATGTTGATATAAAATAAGTCCTTTTATTAATTCTAATATTACGGGCAAGTCCCGCCTTCCCTTCTCTTAGCTATAGTTCAGAATCCAAGATGCCGTCGAGGTTAACCAATCGAGTCATGCCAAGGCCTGTCAATCATCGGCGCTGATGCTCGCAGCTGCGCGCATGCGTTTGTTTGTTTGTTTTACGCGGAGCCTCAGAATCAAGCCTCTATTAGGCTCTGGAACTACATGAAAACTGAACAAAGAATTCTGAACATCCGCGCTGAGGTACTTATGTATATACTGAACCTATATCCATAATCAGATCCTCTGCAGAGGTGTCCTATAATGTGCAATTCATGATAATAGCACTTCCTGGTTTGCCGCGATCGCTTTTTTGTGCATAAAAACATTATTTTTTTCATTAAATGTTAGCATATAATTCTGAAAACCTCCGTGCATGTGTATTAATAATGTATATGTATAATGTGTTCTCTGATTAACATTTCAAAGTGTTACGGAAACGTAGGTGTAGACCAGGGGTGCTCAATACGTCGATCGCGATCTACCAGTCGATCGCAAAGGTAGTATTGGTAGATCGCATTAAATAAATAAAAAATTACACATTCTAAACAAATATATACAAAAAACTCCGGGCAAAGTGGAGATTTTTGAAAACTCCGTTAATGCATTTGTGTGTAGACAGAGATAACCGGAGTTTTGCGTTCTCGCACGCCACAGTACCCCCCTAAATTCCTCTGATCACTGAAGCATGGATCATACTACCTTAAAAACTGTTCGCTGTGAGATGCTCGCAGCAGCGAACATCCTCGCTCCACATCAGAGAGCAGCAAAGTGATCGCAGGGACTCACGCTCGAAAACAACCAAACCAGGACTAAACCAGGACTAAACCAGGACTAAACCAGGACTAAACCAGGACTAAATCAGGGCTGAGGACGGGGTCAGTGCTTGTAAACATACGTCTTACTCTTTACTCTGAGTGTCTTCTATGACTGTAAAAGTGCCGTTACCGGCGTCTGCATCAGAACTCCGCCCACTTCTGTGTTTTTCCCCAACGCAGGACAGGACGTAAGAGACGCACATGTTTGGAATGTTACAAACGTGACTGATAACGCAGATGTGTGGATGCAAATTATTTTATAAACGGAGGAGGGGAAATATTTGGATTTAAAAAAACCAGGCATGGCACATGGACATGGCACCACAGTCAAATGACATCTGTGTTTTACTCAGTAATGTTTTACTGACACTTAGGTGACTGCACATGCGCAAACAACCGCGCTCAGTGCAGGAAAGCTAAACCACGACAAACTTGTCAGCGAGTTACCACCAATTTTCCGGACTATGCATCCCTGGCCGATTCAATTCAGTGCAAGTCATAAGAGTAAACTCGGGTAATGACAAAAAATGTACATAGGTAATTTTGTTGTGTTGTGCTATATTGGCTCATGCTGTTTTTGCATGTACATAAACATACATTGTAGATATAAAGAATATTTTTTGAAATATATGATTTGCATTTTTGTAGTAGGTAGATCATTTTGACTTGATCCTTTTATAAGTAGCTCGCATGCTGAAAAAGTGTGAGCACCCCTGGTGTAGACCAATCAGAAAGGAAGGGGGAGGGAGCTTGCGTCGTTTTTTTTCAAATCAAGTACCTCTCTGTCTCTCTTTCTGACAAACTCCAGACAATCACTTTAAAGCACAATTAAAATCACATGGGAAATGTCCACAGAGTAATCTGAGTAGCAGGTTTATTCTGACTCTTCCATGGACCTGTGCCGCTGGAATCATCATAACTTTATCTGCACAGAGAAAATCCCATTTAATTGGTCGAAACACGTGTGAGTAAATCTGGGGTCAGAAGGATCGCCTGATGACAACCCCAAAACTCAAATATGTGAGAATTTATATAAATGAAACTTAGATATTAAAATAGGTACATGTGATCTGACCATAGAGGAGATAGTCACGCCTCTCCACAGTTCAAACTAATGTGCCACCACTTTTGGCTTCTATGGGCTTTTTAAAAATGGCAGCGGGGCAGGAACATGAATTAGCCGGCACTAGCCCCCTTCATTTACTTAGTGCATTCTGAAGTCCACAGCGCCTAAGCTAGAGTGGTCCAAAAAAATATACTCCCCTCAGCATCGACACACATCTGGAACGTAGGGTTGGCCCAAGAGCCGACTTTTGGACCATCCTGTAAAGAGGTTTTTGAGAGGAAAGAAGACACCAATACAAAAGCATTGGGTAATTCTTATTCCAGGTCCACCCCCACTGGCCCGGAGTGGTATTGCAAGCATGTCAGCGCACGTGGACATTTTGGAGCCGGGACCCGCCCCCACTGGATCTGACCTGTATGAAGCTGAACTCTCTCCAGTTGAGGGCGCTGTGGACCGACGGCAGAGACGTGATAGCGAGCAGCGACAGCAGACCCAGACTCATGACCCCAAACGACACGTACATCTCCACACGCCACACCTCCTCCTCGTTCCACGTGCTCTCCACCTCGGCATGCACCTGAGGGATGAAAAACACTTAAGGAGCTCAATAAGATAAGAGTTCCTTTATTCGTCCCACACAGGAGAAATTTCGATCTGACTGCACACATAAAACCAAATGGTGATTAAACCTTTCTGTTTGCGACTTGGACAATATCATAATGGGAAAAGCTCTCTTATGCATCACGCAACAATTATTTGGTTTTTGAGCATCAATAGCAAATCGCTTTGACTGCAATTATTCAGGATCATTTGCCTTAACCTTTGGGTAGGAAAAGTCTTGTGACAGTCCTCAAAGTGTGGTTTCAGTTTCAATGACAGACTCATTCATCCTCGCTTTGTGAAGGAGAGGTCTTTCCTTTCTGCACTATATGTATATATATACAGTATATACACTAGTATATATAGATACAATTAAATATATTGATATTGAAGCAATTACAGCAAGCTAAGACACATAGCAGCTACTTGATATTTCCCCACTGTGGGACTAATGAAGGATCTCTTATCTTATTCTACATGGCCTCATTCAACATCTAACTAACTACTAACTGATGATTTACCCCGTGAGTTAGGGTTAGGGCTAGGATTAGGGTTAGGTTACACTAATTAGCACTTGAATAGCTGTTAGTTTTACCAAATACTTTTCTTGTCAGATAATTGTCTTTGAACTTGACGACATCACAGGTGCAGGGAACTCAGCCTTACTTCTGTTTAGAAAAGTGTATAAACGTAAACTGTCATGTGAACTACAGTATATCGGGAGTATGGATGGAGTAAACCAGGCGTCTGACCTGCTGGTAGGCCGTGTTGAGCAGCTGGTACCTCTCAGACCTCCTCATGGGCAGACACAGGCTGTAGAACACGTGCACGGCTGCCAGGAAGAAGCTGAGCAGACCCAGCTGTTTGCGACAGCGCAGCCAGCCCTCCAGCCAGCCCGGGAACTGCCTGTACTTTGTCCCGTAGTACAACTGATGCCCTGCAGCCACCTGTCCAGCCAGGTAGACCAGGGCCAGCAGAGTGAGGGCCACGGCAGGCAGGGTGCGGTTCACCACCTCCATGGGGATCTTGTAGAAGTCGCTCTGACTGGACCTCACGTACGGGTGGATCACGTCCCGCACAAAAGAGTAGGAGAAGAAGAAGATGGACAGGGCCACGGCGGTCAGCACGGGCCCCCTCCAGCCAGGAAACAAGCGAAGAGGCATGTTCTCGATGTCCTGGGACGAGCTCAGGGGCCCCATGTCCACAGGGCGAAAGTGCAGCAGCCGGGCCAGCTCGATCACCTGCTGCCTAGCTGCTACGCTGTCACTGCAGATGTACACCTGCACACAGGGGTGGAGGAGAACATGACACAATACACATTCTCAATGAAGGTATTCTAGAAAGGATGATTGTGTTGATTCTTAAACTAAATGCTACACCACTTCTGCTGTTGTGACCCGTCCTACTCCACCCAGAGGCTACACCACTTCTGCTGTTGTGACCAGTCTTGCTCCACCCAGAGGCTACACCACCTCTACTGTTGTGACCAGTCCTGCTCCACCCAGAGGCTACACCACCTCTGCTGTTGTGACCAGTACTGCTCCACCCAGAGGCTACACCACCTCTGCTGTTGTGACCCGTCCTACTCCACCCAGAGGCTACACCACCTCTGCTGTTGTGACCCGTCCTGCTCCACCCAGAGGCTACACCACCTCTGCTGTTGTGACCAGTCCTGCTCCACCCAGAGGCTACACCACCTCTGCTGTTGTGACCCGTCCTGCTCCACCCAGAGGCTACACCACCTCTGCTGTTGTGACCAGTCCTGCTCCACCCAGAGGCTACACCACCTCTGCTGTTGTGACCTGTCCTGCTCCACCCTGAGGCTACACCACCTCTGCTGTTGTGACCAGTCCTGCTCCACCCTGAGGCTACACCACCTCTGCTGCTGTGGCACTTTATTACTTTTATTGACTTTTAAAATGATGCGGCCGCTCTGGACAGCTGTGAACGTGAGCCGCTTTGACAACACAGGTGTCTTTGCGTAAACCTGTGCATGCAATAAATACACAGCTGAAGCTGGACCATTGAGCCTCAGAAAGTGCACTTAAACTCGCTAAACAAAAGCTGGGGTACCTAATTTTTCCCTTGCAAATGTTGTGAGCAAATTGAACAGATTTAATGACAGCCATTGGCTAACATTATGCATTTCAGACTTTTTTGAAATGTCCCATTCTCATTCCTGTAACAAACAATGCTTTTGGTCTGTTTATTACACTCTTGTAACATAGGCTATTGCACTTTAATTCAATTGTTGAAGTACATACATCCTCTACCGATTAGCATAGTTAAAGATAGGGGGTCTCGCTAAAACATTGAGAGTAGCATCTCTTGACCTCGAAGCCACCAGCAAGAGGCGCAATAATGAATAGGATCCAAAATTTAAAAAATGCTGTCTACTACAGAAGGAAAGAATGTTTATAATATTAATGCCATTTTATGTAGATTAATTGTTATAATAAACAAATACAGTACATATATACACTGTTGTCATTTATCTTTCCATTCAAACAACCCTTTACAGAAAAATATGGCATAATTTTGCCAATATGAAATACGATTAATAATTTTTAGCTGTAATTAATTCTAAAAATTGTAATCCTTTGACAACCCAAGTATTTATTTGTTTGTTTGGCTGGATGCGTTTCTGCTGTTGGACACCTGAATTTCTAACCCTAAGGGATCAATAAAGTAAGTATGAAAGTTAGGGTTAGGATTAGGTGTTCTGAATGTCTCGTCAACAGCAGTGCAGACCCAGGACCACAGTGGCAAAGTTAGGCCAGTTGATTGAACCCACACCTGCTTTTCACCACAGGGAACACAGGAACATGTCTAAATAAAGTCAAAACATAATTCAGATTTTCAAAACCAGTCTATATATTATCGTTATATGTCTGTAGTGCTCACACTAAACATGTCTCAGCAAAAAACTCTTAGCATAATAAAGAAGCAAGTATTAGCTAGAGATTATACAGTGTATACTTTCTTCTTTATTATGCTTAAGTTAGAGATTTTATTTTAGCATATACTGTAGTTATTGTTCTTTTCTTCTCTAAATCTTAATCATCTGGACTCTGTGTGCTGAGAAGATCCGGAATTTTATGTTGTTTTTGCACAGTGAGAATACCCTAAAGAGAGCCTAAAGAGGAGACATAAAGTGACGCACATGTCTCAAATTTGAATAAAATATAAAATTTATCTAAATAGCTTAATAGATTTTGATTATAAGGGTTGGTTGATATGAATCTGAGCATAAGCTTGTGATGTGGAGTTTGCTTTTGTAAATATTACTGAAACTACACACTATTATTGTCATATTTCATATATAAAGGAATTCTTATCTTATCTTATTTGTGTAATTTAGCTCCCAGAATAAGCTCATGTATCTCATCAAATTCCAGGGGGCTCCACTCCCTGTGTTACCCACGTGTGTGCTGGCATCCATGGGGTAGTTCTGTTGCATGGCCCAGGCCGAGATGACGTTGAAGCCCTTGACCACTGTGCAGGCGGGCAGCAGGGAGGAGAGGTACTCTGCGTTGGACTCTGGATATTGGTTCACTCTCCGGTTGTTACTCACATCCACCAGGACCTTCCCTGTCGTCACACAAGGGAGAAGCAGCCGTTTTTTTCCGGATATAGGGCAAGACACACACTTTCAGAGGACATGGATGATGTGAGGTCTGACTGTGGGCAGCAGTGAAGTTCTGTAACTATGTAGAATAGAGCTCATAAAGTGCAAGAGAAACGCCATCCATCCAGCAAACAGTCTTACCTGTGCTACCTGTGCCGACACAACTGCAGGAGGGTCTAAGGGCAGTGGTGATGATCCAGGACACTCAACATTCAACAACATTTAAGGACATTGGACATCTGCCCCTTGTGGACCAATTGCAATGTGTTTTTATTGGCAGTCATAAGTCACAATGTCCAGGCAAAACTTTGCACATTGTTCTGTTCTGGCTAATTTTTTACAATGTTGCCGTGGCGATGACTGTATTTGGACACACTTAAAGATTATAAATGTGCACCTGTTTGCAAATACAAAGTCTGATTTGCTCTAAACTTGACTCGTCACCTCAATAAGAGCCCTGCACGGGCCTATTATCTGGGCCTGAGCCCGGCCCTGACCCGATGGGGTGGCGCCCCAGCCCGGCTTGGCTCGTCATAGTTTCTGAATTCACAGGCTCAAACCCGCATCAAGCCCAACTTTGTTTTTTTTTTACTACCATAACAATGTTTTAGCGTAGTGTATAGTGCCGCGCACTGATATGAAAACAGGCCCGGCTAGAGGGCGGAGTTATACATGGTAGTGATGTGTTGCAATGAGTTCTGTGTGTGTGAGTGAACGGCCGCAGCTGTATGATACACAGATGCATGATACACAGCTGTATGATACACAGATGTATGATACACAGCTGTATGATACACAGATGTATGATACACAGATGCCGCAATAAAGTACAACACACTTGAAGGTAACGCTATAAGTCGTCAATGACAACACTATACAGAATAAAAAATACTACAGCGTGATCCATCCATCTATCCATCCAATTTCTTCCTCCATTTCTGGGTCGGGGGGGTGGCAGTCAGAGCTGCACCCAGTCCACAGAGCACCAGCCCCTCACTGATCCTCCTGCAGGTGGTGAGTCCACAGGAGCTGAGATCTTTCAGTGGGGACTTCGGGCAAAGTGGGGTTACTATATTCAATACTATATTCAATGTGTCCGAGGTAATTATACGGTCATCGGCCCAAAGCCCGGTCCTCGGGCTGTCCGGTCCCTCGGGCCAAGGGCTCAAGTGCAGGGCTCTAACCTCAATATGAAAAACATGAAATTGCAGCCTATGCTTGCGGTGAGTACTGTTCGATGCCGCTTGTGGGCTCAGAATTCGTCTGCATCCGATTCCATCAGAAAGCGTCCTTCTTGTTCTTCCTCTGCTAAGGGCAGCTACAGGTTTGGTTGACATACATATAACACATTTTAAGATGATTTAAAAGCTACTTGGGGTAATGTTATGCTTCCAATGACAATAGGAATGATAAGGAAGAGAGGTAAAGGGTAGGAAGGTTGATTTTATAAATTGGACGCACCCCGAGAGTCGGCGAGTCTCTGGAGGAGATGGGAGACACCCGTTTTGTTTGACTTTTTGAAACTAATTGGACTTAATTCTAAATGAGGATATCTGGACTTAAATATGAATCTGGTCTGAACTGAAGTGGTCTGTGTAGTTCTTTTATAAGGTAAGACCATAAAAATGTGTATGTGTTTCTTACATACTTTTGCGTTTCTATGAGTAAACAATGCGGACATAAAACATATTCTGCTTATTCACAACAAATTGTGAATAAGCAGGAATTGGTGTGAATAGACCACGAATCAAGCGGAAGACTGGATGAATGGAAAGTAAAAATAAGTTGGTTGTATGTTCGTCAATGGTGAGCCATGGAGTTTTCAATGAAATAAAAAAAAAGATGGGACACACTTTAGTTTAGCCTTGACAAATTACATCAAGTTCAAGTTTGAGTTCTAGTTAGAGTTAGTTAAGGTACAGTAATTTGCACTTAATTAGCTGTTTATTAGAAAGGGCTAATATAAAGTGTTTACAAAAGATTAATATAAAGACATCAATATGTTTAATATTTTAAAAACATATTTTGTTTTTTGTATTGCAGTGGGGATGGGGTGGGTGGGGGTGGGGATATATATATATTTTTCTTAACAACATGTACTTTACATCGAATCTAAGAAGCCTGTCTGACATTTCAGGAAGACTGCTCTAGATCTTAAATCTCTCTCTTCTCTCTCACCCTCTCCCGCTTACTCTCTCTCTCTCCTCTCTCATTGCTCTCTCGCCTCTATCTCTCTACTCATCTCTCTCTCCTCTATATCTACTCTGTCTCTTTCTCCTCTATCCCTCCTCTCTCTCGCTATCTCCTCTATCTCTCCATTGCATAGTTAATTGTGTTATGGTTTGAAAGTTTAGTTGTGACGGCCTACGGGCCAAACAACAGTGCAGAGTACTCAGCCTTCTTTGAGTCCTTGGGAGGGGTACTGGACAGTGCACCGACCGGGGACTCCGTTATTCTCCTGGGGGACTTTGATGCCCATGTAGGAAATGCCAATGAGGGGTGATTGGGAAGAACGGCCCCCCTGATCTGAACCCGAGTGGTTTTCAGTTGGACTTCTGTGCTTTTCCAACACAAACACCATATTCAAGCACAAGGGTGTCCACCAGTGCACGTGGCACCAGGACACCCTAGGCCGGAGGTCGATGATCGACTTTGTTGTCGCATCATCTGACCTTCGGCCGCGTGTCTCGGACACTCGGGTGAAGAGAGGGGCAGAGCTGTCAACCGATCACCACCTGGTCGTGAGTTGGATTCGCTGGCAGGGGAGGAAGCCGGTCAGACCTGGCAGACCCAAGCATGTAGTGAAGGTCTGCTCGGAACGTCTCGCTCCCTGTCAAACGGACTTTCAACTCTCCCAGGTCCCGGGGGGGAGGGGGACATAGAGTCGGAGTGGACCATGTTCTCCGCCTCTATCGCCGATGCGGCCGCTCGTAGCTGTGGTCCCAAGGTCTCTGGTGATGGTCCCGGCGGCAACCCCCCGAACCCGGTAGTGGACATCGGTAGTAATGGATGCCGTCCGGCTGAAGAAGGAGTCCTATTGAGCCATGATGGTTCATGGGACTCCTGAGGCATCTGTCCAGTATCGGCAGGCCAAGCGTGCCGCGGCCCGGTCTGTTGCAGAGGCAAAAACCCGGGAGTCCATGAAGCATGACTATTGGTTAGCCTCGAAGAGATTCTGGGAAACCGTCCGGCGCCTCAGGAGGGCTTTACCAACAGCGTGTACGGTGCGGGGGGAGAGCTGCTGACCTCAACTGGGGATATTGTGGGCCGGTGGAAGGAATACTTCGAGGTTCTGGCAGCCTCCATGGTGGCAAGACGCCGAGCGGATGAGATCCGTCCTGATTATCTAAAGTCTCTGGATGTTGTAGGACTGTCTTGGCTGACACGTCTCTTCAACATCGCGTGGCGATCAAGGGCGATACCGATGGAGTGGCAGACCGGGGTGGTGGTCCCTGTCTACAAGAAGGGCGACCGGAGGTTGTGTTCCAATTATCATGGGATCACACTCCTTAGTTTCCCCGGTAAAGTCTACTCCAAGGTAAGTAAGTGAGTAAATAATCTTTATTTATATACCGCCTTTCACAGACCAGAGTCACAAAACGGTTTACATTTGTTATTTTTTGGGCACTTGTCCTCTCACTCCACACAGAGATGGGAGCGGGGTCGCCAAACAGGAGGCGCATGCCAGACCTATTGTACATAGGTACTGGAGAGGAGACTTCCACCACCAGTTGAATCTCGGATTCAAGAAGAGCAGTGTGGTTTTCGTCCCGGCCTTGGAACACTGCACCAGCTCTATACTCTCCATTGGATACTCGACGGTTCATGGGAGTTCGCCCAACCTGTCCACATGTGCTTTGTGGATTTGGAAAAGGCATTTGACTGTGTTCCCCTGGGTGTCCTTTGGGGGGTTCTCTGGGAGTACGGAGTCCGGGGTCCTATGCTGAGGGCCGTCCGGTCCCTGTATGACCAGAGCCAGAGCTGTGTTTGCATTGCCGGCAATAAGTCAGACCTGTTCCCACCACAGGAACAGAACCGGTGCCCTTTGTCACCGGTTCTGTTCCCTGTCTTTATGGACAGAATTTCTAGGTGCAGCCAGGGGCCGGAGGGGGTCCGGTTCGGAGACCACAGGATTTCTTCTCTGCTGTTTGTGGACGATGTTGCCCTGTTGGTGAAAGGCAAAGCTCTCGATTTACCGGTCAATCTTCATTCCCTCCCTCACCTATGGTCATGAGCTTTGGGTAATGACCGAAAGAACAAGATCGCGGATACAAGCGGTCGAAATGAGCTTCCTCCCTCAGTCACACGGGGTTCTCCACGTCGAGAGGAACCAGTTGAGGTGGCTCGGGCATCTGTTCAAGATGCCTCCTGGACGCCCCCATGTTCTGGGCACGTCCCACCGTGAGGAGGCCCCGGGGAAGACACCCTGGACAGACTATAGCTGCGTTTCCATTGAATAATGCGCAAAAACTTTTTCGATACATTTCAAAATTCGAAAAACCTGTAATTCGCAAAAGCGGCCCTTTCCATTAAGACATATTCGAATAAGTATACACTATTTTCGTGCGTTTATTCACTAGTTTCTAGTACGTCAACATGGCAACAGAAGTAAACAACACTTTGATTTACGTGACTTGACTTCTGCTGCGGCTCTCATCCTCTCTGACCCCGGGAGAAACTGTGGCTGCTTTGACAGCTCCGCGAACGCGCGTGGTCATGTACCGAGCGCGGACCATAGACGCGCGCACAGAACCATAGACACGGGTCTTGCCTGTCTCCCCCGTCTCTCCCCCATGCCTCTCCCCCGTCTCTCCCCCGTCTCTCCCCCATGCCTCTCCCACGTATCTCCCAAGTCTCCACACGAAGCGCAGCCAAAACTCACTGAATAAAGCAGCTCGGCTTCCTCCGCTATATCGAAATAAGTGTTTCCATTGCCGTTTTGCGAAAAACTTAATTTCGATACGTCCAAAAAACCACCTATTTTAAGCGCATTAACTTTTTATCGAAAAACTGTGGTTTATTCGACATTTGCGCGTTTCCATTAGACATTTTATGATGCGCAAATTCAAATTTCGAAATTTGATGCTCAATGGAAACGCAGCTTATGTCTCTCAGCTGGCCTGGGAACGCCTTGGGGTCCCCCCGGACGAGCTGGAGGAAGTGTGTGTGGATAGGGAAGTCTGGGCGTCTCTGCTTAGACTGCTGCCCCCGCGACCTGGGAACGGATAAAGCGGAAGAAAATGGAATGGAATGGAAGAATGGGAAATAGGTGGGAGCTTAAAACCAGGACACTGCCTTGGACAAAGCTGCAGAACATGTACACCGCTGCAGGACATTTCCTTGGACACAGCCGCGGCAGAACTGTGGCTAAAAGCTCAGATTATTATCTTTCACCAAGTGCTGCTGCTGCATCACGGAAAGAAAATTCAAACACACATTGTTGATATTCTGGCTGTGTGTTTTGCAAATTTGAGGCTTGTCCCTGAATGCGTTTTGTTGAAACTTGTAACATAGTAGGTGGACTCGGAGCGGGTAAGAAAATCCTGAGACCCGTGTTGCAGATTTGGCCTTGTTCTCATTACTGTTACTGTGAAGAAAGTTGAGTATTGTTTACGTGTGCAAATTTTGTGTTCAGCCTACACAATGTGCCTCCTGTTGATTTCACTCTGCCTTTTGGTGCATCGGTTAGCGATGTTGACAATTTTCTGCTATGACGCCGGTTTTTAGATTTTTGCAATATTCTTTTTTGAGAAAGATTGTTGTCCTTCATGGTTCTTTTACATAAGTGTGGTCCTCTATGGTTCCTACTTCAAACTTTGGAGGGCACAGTGTAAACAACGATATCAGTGGCACTTGTGAAACGAAAACACGATTCTCGCATCCTTTTTGTCCCTTATCAACCAATGTATTTCAAGATGGCAGATTGACCTGGATAGTTCTCCAGCTCTCACAGACATTTATAAGTTGATGAAAACAATCATGGAGGAGGTTAATATTCTAAGAAAGGTCACAATTATTGGTTAACCTTTTTTTTTTCATTTGGAGCAACTGTAAAAATTACAAAGAGTGGCTGTAAAGGTTTAGGAATAACATAGGAGGATTCTGTGTCTGATCAGAAAATTGAAAAGTTGCTTTCTTTGTTATAACACACGGCACGGTGAATACAGGTTACATTGTATGTTTCCAACCAGTGTGGGTGGGTCCCGGCTCAAAAGGGTCCATGAGCATGTGCGCTGACATGCCGGTAAACTTACTCCTTGCGTGTTGTGTTGTACCCAGAAACAAGAAATATTCACTGAATTCTCATGCTGCAGGATGGTCCAAAAGTCACTATTGGCTCACTGCTATGTTCCAGATGCTGTCGATGCTGAGTATTGTTTTTTGGACCAGTCTAGTTCAGCCGCTGTGGACTTATAAATGCACTCATTAAATGAATGGGGCTAGTGCAGCTAATGTATGTGCAAATGTGTTTTTTCTCTCTCCACATTTTACCATGGGAGGGGCTGCCTACGGCTATTTAAAAAAATCCGGCAGGATGGACCCGAATCTTTTTTCTTCTGCACTTTGAGCCTTAATTTGACCCCCTGAACATCCATGAAAATCCATTTTGGGGTTTATTTTTATGGGACTAAAAAATTGTCAAAACAGCAGCCAGTATAAGAGTCAGTTTTTATTGCGCCTTCGGGAAATTTGTCGTAGAGCCACAAAATGTGGTGCACATATTTGTCAACTCAAGACAAACCTCTCCTGTTTGCATATAAAACGATAAAAAAAACGAACATAAAATTTGAATCGATTGCTCAACTGAAGAGTCAAAGTCAAAAAACAGATCTAACCATTAGCACCCCCTACAGACTATGTCAAAGTTTTACTTTGGGATAATCCATGTTAGTTTTTCAAAAATGTTTGAAATTTTGCAGATAATTCTCTTTTGGCTTGATTCAAAAAGTCAATGAGACCCAGGACATATTTTTTACACTGTTGCTGTGGCAACGACAAACACTTCCCATTCTGTTTCAATGGGAAAATTGTTAAATATTTGACATGTACACATCGCACAAACATCAAACCAGCCTTGGTTGTTTCACTAATTTGGCTAAAATTGCTCCACATCATCTAAACACAGACGATGAACAGCAAGCCTAAAAACGGATAGAAAAATTGCCTGGTGGCACCACTGCCCCTGACTGCATTCATTAACCACACACCAAATGTCAGCAAGAAGAAGGAAGCTTTTCCTATTCAACCAGTCAATATTAATGGATAAAACAAATAAACTCAAGCACAGCAAGGTACAGCAGCCCACACAAACATACTTACTAACTTGGCTGGATGACAACTTGTGTTTATGATCTCAATGGTACTTTGTGATAGTATGACAGAGAGCTGCAACTGCTGTAGAGCCTGTTGCTGGAGAGCCTGCTGCTTTAGAGCCTGCTGCTGTAGAGCCTGCTGTAATGCCTGTTGCTGTAGAGCCTGCTGCTGTAGAGCCTGCTAGAGTCTGCGGTGGAGCCTGCTGCTGTAGAGCCAGCTATAGAGCCTGCTAATTTGCCTGCTAGAGACTGCTGTAGGGCCTGCTGTAGAGTCTTCTGTAGATGATGTAGAGCCTGCTGCTAGAGCCTGCTGTATGCATGAGTGCTCTGAGACAAACCTTCCAGCAGGTGCTTGAGGTCCCATAGTGCAGAGTAGTGCTCTCGGCGGATGGCGAGGAACAGCACGTTGGCCTTCCCCACTGCCTCCTCGTAGTGCGTCACGTCGACCACATGAGGGAAGTAGTGAGACGCCTGCTTGGGTCTGCGGCTGCCCACCACCACCCGGAAGCCCGTCCGCAGCATTCTGAGAGCCAGCGCCCGGGAGAAGTCCCCCGACCCAAGGATGGTGATGGCAGGCAGGCCTGGGGGGCAGCAGGGGCCGTTCCTCTGAGGGCCGAGGAAGGAGGACGAGGTGAGGAAGAGTGTGCTCCGGCCGCTGCCCATGGATCCTGACTCCATCACTGTGGGCTATGTCTTCACCAAAGAACCTGCAACACACAATCCATCCAAAAATGACCTTGTGCAGTGTACTCTGATGAAGTTTTCCTCAACATATCTATATCTGAGGTCTTCAGAGTTCCACTACATACAACCAGGAATACTGGGACATCTCTGTGCCTAAATTAGAGCTGACTGTGATGTTATAGGATGTGTTTCTACCAAATGTACTGTAGATTAACTAAAAGGAGGAAAAAACACACACACACACACACACATATACAGTACAGACAGGTTTGGACACACTTTCTCATTCAAAGAGTGTCCTTTCTTTTCATGACTATTGACTGTAGATTTGCACCAGGCTGTGTAAGGGCCCTTTGACCAATAAGGAGAGTGATGGTGCTGGGCCAGATGACCTGGCCTCCACAGTCACCAGACCTGAACCCAGTCCAGATGGTTTTGGGGTGAGCTGGACCACAAAGTGAAGGCAAAAGTGCTAAGCATCTCTGAGAACTCCTTCAAGACTGTTGGAAGACCATGTGCCAAGAGTGTGCAAATCTAAAATATAAGAAATATTTTCAGTTGTTTCATACTTTTTTTTTAGTACATACATAATTCCACATGAGTTAATTTATAGTTTTGATGCCTTCAGTGTGAATCTACACATACAAATTATATATACTGTATATATATATATATACATACTAAGAGTAGGAACCTGGCCAGATGGATAGGGTACAACTCTAAGAAACAGTGACACACAGCTCCATCATGTACAACGTTACATGTTGACACTGTACTGTAAATCTCTGATTTACTGGTTTTTGAAAAAACCTAAATGTGTGCATCACACCTTCTTCAGAAATAGTCAGATATTCCATGAATGGAATCTTTCAATAGGCGTCCAGGACAAAAGCCTCCTCTCACTGTGCACCAGCAGTGGCTCTATCAGCAAAGTTTCCTTTGAAATAATATTTCTTTGACTGGTGCTATGAGACTTGGGTGGCATCTCTGATTGCCACCCCCCTGACCCAGAAATGGATTAAAGGGTAGAAAATGGATGGATGGATGGATGGAAAGAAATACTGCTCAAAATCGGCTCAAAATACTGCTAAAAATCCCGAAATCAACATTCATATCTGACTTGTAGAAAAGTCAAATGTTGAAAGCTGAATGCCATGCTGTGGAGCATTACAGGCAAAACAACATGATTGTTCATCCATTTTCCTTCACTTTATCCGATGCTGGGTTGCAGGGGAAGTTGTCTAAGCAGAGACGTTCAGACTTCCATTTCCAGCTCATCCAGAGGAATCACGAGGCATTCCAAGGTCCGCTGAGAGACAGTCCCTCCATCATGTCTTCCCCGGGGTCTCTTCCTGGTGGGAACCACACCTCAACTGGCTCCTCCACGTGGAGAAGCAGTGAGTCTACTCCAAGTTCCTCTTGTGTGACGGCACTCCTCAACCACTCTTTAGGAAACTCATCACTGCTTGTATCCTTGATCTCATCCTCTCCGGTCATTACCATAGACTGGGGGCTACAGGTACCCAGGGCTGGACTGGGACAAAAAAACGGCCCGGGCATTTTTTCCTTCTTAGCGGCCCATGCAACTCAAAAGGTTCAAGGAGCATCTGTCTGGAGCCGCAAAAAAAAAAAAAACAGCGTTGTATAAGGCTTATATGAAGGTAACAGGGGCTGAAGCTGTATTAGCTACATTAGCTACATTAGCTATATTAGCCTAATATCTAAATGACAAAGTAAAGGCTAAACACATAAAAACCATCCATGATTATCAAATGTGTATTTTCACTGCAGCGTGTCCTGGACAGAATGACGCACCACGTGACGACTCTGCTTTAACTTTAACCTTCTTGCAATTGTACAAATACAGTAAATAAATCTGCTTTTTGGCTCAGTTCACCTGCATCACTGTCTGTTCATATCCATCACAGGCTGAAGTTTGCTGGAGCTGAATGTCCTTAATGGCCTTTTCTTTCACCGTCTTTGAGAAGGTATTTGAAGTCTGAAAATAGGTGCTCTGACTTTATGATGAATGAATCTTTCAGTGAACGGTGTTTAAAGCTTCATTGTTCCTCCTGTTGCAACAAAACTTTTCATTACAACATGAAGCAGTCCTTCCTCATTGACTGAAAGCAAATGTTCATTCTCATTCTTAGTCCAGTCTTATTATCGACTCTCTCTCTTTATCTTTGGGATCCATGCGCACACACAGTCTATAATGTTTGTTTACAGCAGCGGCCGCCTGGCACGGGCCGCGTCACAGGATATGACGCACTTGACAGAAATGCTAAAATTGAATATTACTTATACAAGTTTTTGCAGCATTGAAAAACTTTAAGAATGTTTTTCCTCCTACAGAAACCACATTGAAACAAATAAAATATAGCCCTCACACTCCATTTTCAGACATTTTTGAAACGGCTTTTTGAAAGGAGCCACTTTAGGGGCACTAAAGGTTGCCGACCCCTGGTTTATACAGTATGTGGAAGCAAATACTGTAAAGGATCAGGATGTCTGCAGTTTCAACAATAAAATAAAGTGCAATAGTCTACATTAAACAGAGTAATAAACATGTCTCAGAGTGAGGGAGGTGGGCACACTATTGTTTGTTACAGGGATGAGAATTGGTCAAAAATGTCTGATATGCATATTGTCAGCCATTAGCTGGCTCTTAATCTGTTTAATCTGTTCACAACATTTTACTTTTGGGCTCAAACATGAACTTTTAATGCAATGGAAAATTTAGGTACCCGAGCTTTAATTTAGAGGAGAGGGGAGACGCGGACTGTTTTCTGCAGCGGTGTATTTATTGGGTGCACAAATTACTCAAAGACACGCATGGTCCTGTGCGCGTTTATGGTCTTGGGTACATGGTCACGTTGCGGCTACGCGCTCACCGTGTTGTGTTGTGAGCGGTTCCTGCGTCCAGCTCAGAGCCGCTGGATGCGGGAACACTGCGGCCGCTGAGGTGGTGGAATCCCGTTCAAGTACCTACAGCAGGTGCCCGCGGACACGCACGCCCCCTAGAACAGTTCTCAACGGATTTACACTTTTCACAAACATGTTTTTTGTATGAGGCAGACAGACCGGCCCAAATATGGGCATCGGCCCTTCTGGCATTGCCCGGTACGCCCGATGGCCAGTCCAGCCCTGAGGTACCCCTGCATCAATGAAAAGATTAAAAGCTAAAATAGATCTGTAATGGCTCAAAAGTGATTCATGTGTTAAATTCTTGAATCCTTTGAGGAGCTACTGGTAGCTCCTGAGCCACAGGTTGGAGACCCCTGCCATAGACTGTAAATATAGTCATTACCCAAAGCTCATGACCGATGGTCACAGCATGAGAGTGATGGACCCAAACACAAAGGGGAGCCTATGCCATAAAAGAGTTGAGAAAAATAACTACATATGTCTGGAATTGAAATCAAAGCGTTATCTCATTAGGTCTATGTGGTAAATTAGGAAGTTTTACCCAATGCAACCTCAGCCTTGTGTTGCTCATAGACTGTAGTGTCTCTGTAACATTCTAGATTTCCTGTCATAGGCCGTGAGCATGAGCACCAGACTAATAATGTCCAGGTGTAACATCATGGTAAGTATGGTACATGCTTCGGCCTCTGCGCACTGACGCTCGTCTCGACCTTGGCCGCGCGGAGGACGCTCACCTGTAGCATCACTGTGCACGCGCTTCTATTTGCACGCGTGTGGGAGGTGCGTCACTGACCTGAAGCTGTCAGAGGAGGCGTGCGGAGTCCCAGCAGCGGGAGGCCATGATCGGAATGCCTCCTGCAGACTCAGCCCCGGTGCTACAGCGTCTCACCGCCTCTGAGCGAGACTGCCGCGCTCAAGATCTCCCTCAACCACGTATGCCGCGCTGCCGCGCTCTGCCGTCTGCTGCCGCTCCTCCTACCGCGTCTACTGCTGCGTTCACGCTCCTCAAGTGAATAGTATAACTAATAATATTTCCCCATTTAACTTCATATAGCCTGGAAAAAACAAGAGTCTACATACTACATAGAAGTAATAATTCCATTCCAAAAAAGGGAAATTAAAAATCGTATTTCGAGCCAACACTTCCAGTGCGAGCAAAACAATGACATTGAATGCTATTTATCCTTAAAAAGAATGACAAAAATCCTAAACAATTTAAACTTGAAGATGCCTTCATTGACGCTTACCTTCTGTGAACATTATAGGCAATATAATATATGCAACAAACACATTTTAAATGACAAACAAACTTAAACATTTGCATTTGTATGATGCTTATAGTTATAGTTATACTTATGTTACTTATATGATCGAGTGAATTTTTGTATAATATGAATCAAACAGTCGAGCTTGGAGGACATCCTTATAGTCAATAATCGCAGGACAGACAGTTTGCTCAATAAAAATGCAAATTCACACATATTTTTTTTTTTTAGTAATTACTACATTATTTGAGTATTGTATTGAGTTTCACAGCACATCGCACATGTTGGACTAGTTGTCGATTACCGAAAAAAAGGATTAATTAACTTCTGTGAAGGTGTGTCCGATTGGTTTTAACGAATAGCCGTGAAGCACATTAGAAAAACACAATACCCATAATAGTAATTTTTAAATGTATAGGCCCTTATCAGATATATATCAAATATATAGGCTTTTCAACTCATTTATTACTCAATGAACCGCTTGTTGAACCTTACATAGACACGTTTAGACAAAGTTTTAGAAATTAAAAAATGTATAAAGTATATCAAATGTTCTCCAAGGTCATCACAGTTTGCTTTAGTCAAATGCATTTTAATCCATTCACTGACGTCCCGCGATATAAATCACTCATTGATTATTTTAGTTCATAGCATTGTATATATTATGTTCATAGGTGTCAAAGTCAAGGCCCGGGGGCCAGATCCGGCCCGTGAGACAATTTCCGGTGGCCCTTGAGATGATTTTTAGATGATTTTAAATTAGCATATTAAATAGCAGCATTAATGGAAATAGGCGACAACGTCATGTCATCCATTACTGACTTTCTCAAGAAAACAACCATAAAATTCAATTCCATCAGAAATCATAAGCCAACATGCAATTAGAAGTCAGTATTTTTATGTTTTGTTTTATCTACGAGTCTTCAATTACATTTCTTCTTAAAGATATGGAAGATTTCTCAATTTTCTTATAGGGAAGAACTGCCCTCTCCACTTTTTGAACAAAACTCTCTTGTTTGGTCTTATTTGACCAGCATGAATCACCAGAATGATTGACAGTTGGGAGGACCAATAGTCTTGATGATCCACACAGAAGTAGAACATTTTCCTGAAAACCTTCAATATTTGGTCCAGTTTTGGTTCAGTCCACAGTAACTGAACTAATTCTAATCAGAAAAGAATGTCCAATCTAACTATGTGAAACAAGTCATTTACTTAGATACCTTGATAATATTAAAAAAGGATAATAAATGAAACCCACTTATTCTTTCGGCCCCTGACCAGCCCTTTCGTTATTTATTCGGCCCTCAACCAAAATAAGTTTGACACCCCTGTTTTAGTTCGACCAACAGATGTTTGGATGAATTGAGTAGATATGTCCAGCAGAGGGCGACAGTCCTACGTGGTATGCATGCCTACTGTCCCTCCGCGCTCTCCGTAGCCGTAGTCACCATGCTAGCCACCGAGACACTTGTGCTAGCTCTTGTAGTCATATGTGTGGTCTTCTGTGTCCGGTTGTTCGCAGTGCTACGGTCCGGACGCTCGTACAGACCCGGGGCAGAGGGCTCGGTGTCGGTGCTGGTGGTCGCGGGGTCAGGTGCGTGATCCTCCGTGTGTCTGTAGCTGTGTGTCTGTGGTGCTAACAACACTGCTGTTCTATAGACTAGAGACTAGAGCAACGCTGTTGCAGTGACATTTTGGCGGCCATCTTGTGTTTTTCATGTTTTCTTCTATCTTTTATCAATCACGAATAAGACGAATTATACACAATGTAGAACGTATCAGCCCTGGAGAATCCATCTGCATTTCACAATAATCCCATTTGCATGGATGAATTCAATTCCAGGCTGTAATCAAAACAGCAGTCGACTTGAAGGATGCCACAGAACTGTACATTCACCAACAGTAAATTAGAAAAATCAGACGATTAGAAACGAGGAAACTAACGCACTCAAGAGTGATCTTTTCCTGGCAGGGGGCCTACAGGTGTTTCAGTCCATTAGGGCTGCAACAATTATTCAGACGGTTAGATGATCTTGTGTGATGAATAAATGCGATTAATTGGTCGGGTTAATGGGCCTGTGGGATTATTATTCTTTTCCCAAACTGTTTTATATTTTAAAAAAAATAAGGCTTTTTGATATAAATGTCCTCTTTGTGTGCGCAGGGGGCCACACCACAGAGATCCTGCGGCTCCTGGGCAGTCTGTCCTCAGCCTACTCCCCGCGGTACTATGTGGTCGCTCAGAGCGACTCCATGAGCGAGGACAAGATCCAGGCATTTGAGAAATCCAGACCACAGGAGGACTCACAGGTATGGAGCACAGGCCACCCGCAGCAGGGGCTGCACCACAGGGGGCTCCACAAACATGTGGATTTATAGATAACTGATGGTTTCAACATAGAAAAATAAATCAGGATGACAAGGGACATGACTGAAAGGCTGCATCTTGCTAGTAGCACATATGGAGACAGACCAGTTTAAAGCCTTTCTGTGGAAGAAAAAAGCCAAAGGAACAACATTTCTAGTGAAGCAGACTTTCCTTGTTTTTAATCTATTTTCTGTTTTGTTGTTGGTTGTTTAACGGTCTCTGATGATGGTGTGTTCTAGGCACAGTTCGGTGTGTTCCGCATCCCGCGCAGCAGAGAGGTGCACCAGTCCTGGAGCTCATCACTCCTCAGCACCATCAACGCACTGTGTTACTCCATCCCACTGGTGTTTAGACTGCGGCCTGATGTCGTAAGTACACACACACGTGCACACACACACACAGGACATGCTTGAGGGACTGTGTCTCTCAGCTGGCCTGGGAACGCCTTGGGGTCCAGATGAGCTGGAGGGTGTGTGGATAGGGAACTCTAGGCAAATTATAGGAATAATGCAATTTAAGAAAACTGGTGCACAAGTGCTAAATAAATATGTTACATTTATTAAAAAAAATAGTATAGGAAGTTTATTTTATTATATATTATTATATAACGCTTATTGAATTATTAATTTTTCTGTGGCATCAAAAACATTTTACTAAGTAACTGTAAACCAACAGAATTGATAATAGTTCACAGAGGTCACATTAGATTGTATGATATATCAGTCATTTGTACTCCCCCCTCATAAACATGGAAAATACTAGATCATGATAATTATCATACTTTGATTATTTGTGCATTACTAGTACTAGTGTTTGGTAATATTTGGTATTATTATACAGCTCCTCACAGCAGCAGGAGAACGCTCCATTGATTTGAATGTAATTTAAAAACGTTCTACCGGTCATTATTTTCTATAACGGACCTCTCAAAACAATGATGACCGCTGCCCTTTGGCAACGCACTCTCTGCTTGTCTTTCAAATGCGTGGATAACTCCGCAAGTAGTTCCGGCCACTCCTGAGCTAGCCACGCTCAATCAACACACTTAAATGTTAATCGGAGAATACTTATACATATACATTCTTCACACACGTGCACGGAAATTTTCAGAATTTTCTGGTCTTGTCTTCATGACAAAAATACTATTTCTCTGCGTCAAAAAGCGATCGTGAAAAACCCGGAAGTAGTTCTGGCCGCTCAATAAACGCAAATGCCAATCAATCAACGCAATGAAATGTTAATCGGAGAGTAATTTATACATATCCAGTCTTAATACAAGTGCACGGAAGTTTTCAGAATTTTCCGTTTACGTTTTCATGACAAAAACACTGATGTAATGCGAGAAAAGGCGATCCCGAAAAACCCGGAAGTAGATACCGACACATTTTAAGATACCGGCACATTTTCGGACACATTTGCAGAGGATCGAATTATGGATTTAGGTTAGGTTTATGTTTGGGTCACTCACCGCTGATGTTCAGAATTCTTTGTTCAGTTTTCATGCAGTTCCAGAGAGTTCTAGTTTGGAAGTTACCAGCCTAACTGTTGCCCGCGGTTGCCGAGCAACGGGAAAACTTTTTGGGACTACTTTATTTGTTGTCATTAAATAAACTTTTGGCATTCATAATTCATTCATTCAGCGGACCCCTCCGCTGCGCGTCGGGGTCCGCTTCGCCCTGTCGGTACTTATTTTCCGATAATGACCTGTAGGCTATACATTATCCCTTACATAATACAGGTACAGTGAGAAAAAAGCATTGTTTGTTACCGAGCAGATTAAACACTACAGTTTAAAAGTCCTCACTTATAATATCTTTGTGTAAAATTCTCATTTAATAAAATGTTGTTTGGTTCTCTGTAAAGACATAAAAGTGAACAGAGTAATGGTAGATGTTGCTGCTTATCTTTCTGATTGACACTGGAAGATGAGGAACACCTGAGCTACAGTTATCAATATATCAACGTGGGACAGGTGCGGCTTATAATCTGGTGCGTCTTGTACAAGATTCAAATTCTTTCTATAAATTAGAGACTACGGCTTATAGCCCGGAAAATATTAATATTAAAAGTCAAAGATATTACAGATAGTGTGTCAATGTATAAAAAAGTTCTCTGCATGAATGTAGAACACCATACGCTGACTTTCCATCGCGCTGCCCTTTCAGATAACTTCATCAGAATGCAAAACAACAGAAATGCTTTGTACGTCCATTCGTTTTGCAGATGAAGCTATAATTCAATCAGGCGGTTCAGATTACAGCCGCTGTCTTCACCAGAGATCCTCACTACACACAGCATTCTTTGGATTTTGTTTAGAGAAAATTGATTTGATTCGTGAATGGAATCTTGGACAACAAGTCCCGAGATTCTAAGAATATAAACGGATAAAGATACTCAGGACCAAGATTGATTTGTAGACTAAATCATTGCCTAAAAACTCATTTTGTCATAGTACAACCACAAACATAAACATTTACTTTTCTATTTTTTTGAAAGACCACTATTTTTTGGGTAAAGTGGTAAACAGACAACTAGCATAAGTGATGGACATCATGAGTTAACTCCAGCCACCATCCCACCAACTCTGAGGCCCTGTTTATACTGAGACGCTGCGCAGACGTTTCCAGGCCATTAACAGAAACGACCAGGCTCCTAATGCAACTTTCACAGCGTCCATACGAGGATCAAAAACGATGTAGTTCTAGCGCCCGGACATTAGTGGACAGAGGAACTTTACAACACACACACGACCCCCAGCCCCATGCCCAGCCCCCCCGGGCAGTATACTCACTTCCTCTGCCAGACGCACCAACATCATTCTGCATTTTAACAGCAGCTGTGAAAATGGAAACTGAAACTAGAGCTTCGCGTGGTCTCGTTTGGACGAACGAAGGAGTAGAATTGTCCTCCCTGCAGCGCTCGAAGCCCTCGAAGCAAGTTAGTGTACCCGCCGCCATTGTTGTTTACGTTTGTTCTCCGCTGTCCAAATTTACATGCGGGGAGCAGCGGGGAGGTGGGGGTCAGATCAGGCAGACAATTCACATCTTTTTCCCTGACGCGGGTGTGAAAGAGCCCCGCTGAGCAGCGTTTCTGAGTTGTCCCACTCTGCAGACTGGATCTTAAAGTAATAGGCCACAGTTTTTACGTACTGACATATGTTCTTACCTTACCTTAGACTAGTTGATTTTTACGTGTGATCATTGTCCGTGCGCTCTGTCATGCAAACGGAGCACAAACGTAGCCTCTTCACGTTAGAAGCTACCAAACTCCTCCACGTGTTCCCTATTTAAATACAGTTATGTGACGTGTTACTCTACAAAGTATAGTAACACAGAAATGTATCATGTCGATTTTCTCAGCGGATAAAAAGGGGTACTATATTGTGAGGCGTAATAATACGAGGAGCACTACGTCCACGCACTAACTCCTAAAGACTTCTCTCCCGCTCACTTCCGTCATTAGAAGCAGCGTGACTTGTAGTACGTACAGGAGCGGGAGAGAAGTCTTTAGGAGTTAGTGCGCGGACGTAGTGCTCCTCGTATTATTACGCCTCACAATATAGTTCCCTTTTTATCCGCTGAGAAAATCGACATGTTACATTTCTGTGTTACTATACTTTGTCACGTAACTGTATTTAAATAGGGAACACGTGGAAGAGTTTGGTAGCTTCTAACGGGAGCTGATTTGGAACTATACAGAATGTGGAAGAGGCTGTGTTTGTGCTCTGTTTGCATGACAGAGCACACGGACACAGATCACACAGGTACATATCAACTAGTCTAAGGTAAGAACATATGTCAGTATGTAAACACGGTGGCCTATTCCTTTAACACTTACGTTTTCACCCCCCTGGAACACAGTCTTCATATGAACGGTTGGTAGCAACCGACATCCAACTATAGTGTTTTACTGCCACATTGTCTCCGTGTAAACTGCCCCTAACACTCTCCCCTGTCCCTGCTGAAGAAAAGCAGCCCTATATAAGATAAGATAAGATAGACTTTATTGACTTTATTGACTTTATTTTTAAAGTCTGTCTTATCTTATCTTAAAGATGCTACCACCTTCATATTTAATACTGGGGATGGTGCTGTAAGATTGATGTTTTGGTTAGTTTGTGGTTCGTTTTGAGCCAAACATGCAATTTTGAACAGTGGTGTTGTACTCAAGATTGTAGCATTAAGCTAATTTCCATCCATTGTTCCAGTTAAAAACACACATCTCATTCACTCATTCACCCTGAACAATTTTACATGTTTTTAGTGGTAGTAGAAACACGCGGGGCACCTGGAGGAAACCTACGCAGACATGAGGAGAACATGCAAACTCCACACAGATAGGCTCTGTCTGTTCATTTTCTTCAACATGCTGTGGTCAGACAATGGAAGCCACAGGATTCTTGATACAAATCAAAATTATTTTTCTTGCCTAGTCGCAAAAAAGGAATTTGCTTTGGCTCAACGTGTCTTTACTGTGAACAGATGACACTGATACAGAGTTCTGGCCCTTTGTCACACAAAATAGACTAATGAAAAGAATGGATTCACTCTTCTGGATTCAGTGGGGAACAGGTGTCTCTTCCTCCACAATAGGCCATGCTCTAGTTTCATGGAGCGGCCTTTACAGTTCTGCTGCCCTCAGTGAGTTTTCCAGTGGCACAGTCCAAGTTTCCAGCTCAGCCCAGACATCATTTGGACTGGATCTTTCGTATTCATGAACAAATTCCTCTGAATCACTGCGTTCCAGTCACCTGGCAGCAGCCGCCTGGAGATCAGTCAGAGACGGAATGTATAAAGGCTGGGACTATGTTTGCTTTTGTATTTTTGTTTTAGGTAAACAGGTTTTGTCAAAGATAAAAGTGGATAGACGAGCAGTGGAAACTGTTACTATGTGAAAAACTCAGAAGGAGATTGTGTGGAGATCGCACTCGAGCGTGGGCTTTGTGTGGCGTTTCACTTTGAGAACCGGTTCAGTTAATAAATAGCAGTTTTTTTTGGCCAAATGCAAATTTATACCTGTGCTTATTTCACCCCGCTGATTTGATCATCTCCTCCTGCGTCCTATTTAGTGTGTTGTAGCTTTATCGTCTTGGAAGAGAGTTGGCAAATTGTTACAAGCCCTAGTATGGTGTGGCCTTTCATTTTAGACCTGAGTAGAAGACATGCTACTAGCAAACTATAAGCAACAGAAATTTCAGATTCGACAGGGGATTCTATATTGAACCATAAAATGTGATATTTGAGTGCATAAAGGTCAAAACCAACTCTGGTCTCTGGTGTGAGGCCAAAATAATGTTGTAACAGGGTTTAAAAGCTCAAAAAACAAAGCCTGGCAGAATATGTAATCCCTCATTCCTCCAGATTGGATCTATAACACAAAAACTTACCAAAGTGATCACATGAACTACATTTTCAGCTTAAGCATATTGTTATTGTTCAATCGAATCCCATCCAGAAGAAATCAGACTTTCATGATTCTTAACAAGGACATCGGGTAGTGTCTAGTATTGGTTTCAACTCAGAAGTGGGGGGGGGGGGGGTAAAATCTCTTCAACAGGGGGATAAGGAACTGATGTGCCAGGTCACAGTAATCTTTATTTTTATAGCCCCTTTCTCAGAACAGTCACGAAGGGCGGCACGGTGGCTGAGTGGATAGCACTCTTGCCTCTCAGCAAGAAGGTCCTGGGTTCGAATCTCGGTCGGACCAGGGCCTTTCTGAGTGGAGTTTGCATGTTCTCCCCGTGTCTGCGTAGGTTTCCTCCGGGTGCTCCGGTTTCCCCTACCACTAAAAATATGTCCAATAGTTCTGGCATGCGCCTCTTGTACTGGCCCCTCCCATCTCTGTGTGGAGAGACAAATGCCCAAAAAAAATGTAACAATTGTAAACCGCTTTGAGACTCAGATCAGCAGTGAAAAGGCGGTATATAAATAAAGATTACAAAGCACTTTTCAATTATTCACTCTCTCTACTCAGCGATGGTGCCATGCAGGGCCTATTCATGTTTTAAAGAGCGACTAAACACCAAATCAACTTTTTTTAACTCATAAACTCCATAAGTATGTTTATTGTAGTGCTGTCTACATATTCTGGTCATTTTTTTGACATTTTAGTTCAAATTAGATAAAATATCACCTTTGAGCCAAAAAACGCTGTGTGGCGCCCTCTCAACCTTTCTGGTGGTACTACATTTGAATTTGGTTCTGGCCTCTCCATTGACTCTGAAGTTCTCTATGACATCAGTTGTTTTGTGTGACGTCAGTCTGTCAGAGCCAGTGATATAAACCCATTCAACTCTCACACACGCCCAGCTGCAGTTTGGAGTATTCTGGCGCCCTCTAGTGGATTAAAATTAAATTACATGAGTCATTCTGAGATTATTGAGTGTGATTAGGTTCAGGTGTGTAGCTTTACAATTATCTTAGTGTGTAAACAAGGGTGGAATGAGACTTTCTGGTCTGTAAACTATTGCTTTAAGCAGCAATGACAACTGTCTTTTTTTGTGTGTGACAAGTGAGCTGTCAATCACAGCCCAGACCACGCCCAACTCTAAGCCCCCCTTCTTGTCCTTTGGTCCTCCAGGCAACGCCCTTTTAAGAGAACATTTTCAAATGTTCATGTGGGCGGAGTCAGGCTGGGCACAGGTGTTTAGTCGCTCTTTAAGTGGCAGGGGAATAAAAGCACCCGGTGGAAGCAGACACAGGGAGAACATGCAAACTATACACAGATGACGTCTGGGCGTGAAATCGAACCCAGGACCTTCTTGATGCTGTGAAACACGACCCCTACCTACTACTCAGGTGTTCACACTTAGTTCCACTGGTTTGGAGAACTGGGAAAATACACGCCTTATCAGTTCAGTTCAGTTCAGACTCGTCGACCAGCCTGTGTCCACATCTTGGAAAAACAAAACGTACTTGGTGCACCAGAGTCCTCTTCAATTTGACCAAGTGTGAACGCACAGGAAAAGGGACTAGATGGGTTTGGGAATAGCCTGGTCGTACCACACCATAGTACAAATGACATTTAGTACTAAGGTCTGGATTTGCTCCATTGAGTGGGAGGGGTTAACTCCTTTTGCAGATTGAAACGATTGGATCTGAGTTTACTGTGACGTATGTAGTGCGTCTGTTGTTAGCATTTAGCATAGCCATCTCCTTTGCCGCTAACGGAGCCCGTGGGGAGTAGCGCCACAATCTTTGCTAGCGATTACATTTGCTAAACATTCCTATTGCTCCGGCTTCAAGTTCTTGATAGAACCAGACTGGATTACTTTACTATTGCATTTTTCGCCATTGCCAAACTACAACCTGCCCGTTCGGCGCAAACTCTTGACATCACCCACAACTAACTACAACACCAGCCTTCCACGCTCTCTGAATGGTCGGTCAAAATTCAACCGATTGTAATCGCTAACATAGGGACTAGACCCAAACGTTACATGCAGTGAAATGATGATTGAACGGAGTGTAAGGATGGCTAAGGCCAGGGTAGTTTGGGAAGGGTGTCCAAACATTTTAGTAAGAGGGCCACTTTAGTTCACCAGACTAGTCCAGGGGCCAGCATCACAGACTGAAAAACTGTCTAGACTGGCATCGGGCTGTTCTGAGCTTAAAATGATCTATAACAGAGCTGAAGTTGGCTGAATGGCAAATGTTTTCTATCTCACCAGCTACAGTAGCACCATTAACAATTTGGTGACACAATCAAAAACCATGTCAGTAAAGTACAGTATGTACAACCATGTAAGTGTAAACACATGAAGCTGAAGTTGGATGGATGACACAGTGAATCTCAAAGACTACTTTGGGTTAGCAAGGCAGAGGGCCACATAAAATGACACTGAGGGCCGCAATTGGTCCTGACTTTGGACATGCCTGGGTGATGGTATTTCTCTACCTCCTCAACACCAGCGGCTCCACCACCTCTAACTTTTCGAATTATGTATTTATTTGTTTGTACGGATGTGTTTCTGCTGTCACAATGCTGAAAACTTGTATGCAAACAAAAAAACCTAGTCCAGATGACTTTTGAAAATGTTCTTGCTTCTGTTTGTAAAGTGGATTTATCAGAATACTTCTCACTTTGTTGTCCCTGAGGTGGGCTGCATTGGTCGGGCTTCTGTGTCCCTATTGAACTTTTCATAACAGATGGCAGGCTGGGTTTCAGGGTGACGTCAGTGCGTGTGAGCGCGATGATTGCTTCTGCAGACTCTCACACTGCTGCTCTGTCTGCTTTTCTGTAACTCTAAAGCTCTTCAGTCCACTCAGGAACCCTCTTTCAGGAGCCCCCTTCCCCCCTGGCCAAGCGCTCAGACTGGATGTTCTGGTCTTGTTGGAAGGCCTCTGTTTTGCCTGGATTTGCCGGGTTCAGGTTCAGGGCAGGGAGAATGGCTGCCTGTTGAAGGTGCTGACTACCTCTTCTATTGCATCTGAACAGACCCCTACCATGGCAGTGAGTGTCGAGGAAGCCTGGAAGCACGCCATTTCATTTTTTCTTTAATTTACACTTGGAGTCATTCATGCAGGTTAAAGAATTCTCCTGAATCCAAGAGACCAATGCTTTGGAGATCCCAATTTTATAATTCCACTAATTTTTGTTTACATTTTTTACTTCTTTGATGTGACACTTGTAAACACTCTTGCGAGAGCTTTCATGAGATCTTGTTCCATCCTACTGTATACGATAAAACACATTTATAAAAAGTTGTACGGCTAAATGAGTCGCCCATCCAGCCTATGTCTTCCCCCGGCCCGGGCTCGCCCTCCCCACCTGGGAGACGCCTCGGTCCTCGTTCCACAGCCTGAGTCCTGGATCTACAGTCTGTTTGTCTGTGGGTGCGGATCCACAGGCTTCTCCCTTTCTCTCACTGGGGTTTTAGAGATTCTCCTTGCTGACGGTGGTGATGATCCAGGACACTCGACACTCAGTGACATTTATGGACTTTATCAACATTTATAGACATTGGTCATGTAGATCAATGGCTCAATGTGTTCTCTATCATTACATTTCCTGTGTTTGATTCTCCGATCTGTGTTGGCCAATCAGCGACTTTGTAAACTCCTCCAAGATAACTACTGTTGTGATTTATTGATACATTGAATTTGATTGCCTTCCTGTGTTTGTTGCAGATCCTGTGTAATGGCCCGGGCACCTGCGTTCCCCTTTGCCTGGCCGGGCTGGGGCTGGGGATGCTGGGACTGAAGCAGGTGGTCCTGGTGTACGTGGAGAGCCTGTGCCGGGTGGAAAGCCTGTCCCTCAGCGGGCGCCTGCTCTACCCCTTTACACACTACTTCTTTGTGCAATGGGCTGCACTCAGGGACAAGTACCCCAAGGCAATCTTCCTCGGCCGCATCGTCTGATCAGTTATGAATTGGGAATCCACTGGTTTCACAAATGAGGACCACTGCAATAGAACTCAAAACAAAAGGTCATATTTTGAACTGGGGTGAAAGGTCCTCAAAGTGTTCCTTGAAACTGCAAGCTGAATGAACAGAGACCAGAGAGAGCATCGGTAACCTGAGCTAACAAAGCCAGTTCCATGTCCATGGTCGTGGTGGAACATTCTACTGTAGGACATTTTGACTTTTACAAACTACTAAAACAGGTTTCTTTACTATGGACAGGCTCCACAAACCTTACTCATGTGCTTCGTTGACTTTCCCCCTCCACTATGTAAACTGACTAATGCTAAACCGTAAACTAACAAACTCAAAGCGGTTTTCAGTTTGGTTTCTGCCTGTTCTCATGGAAACAAGCAGGGGGAGCGTAGTTTCTCTGGGAAGTGTGGTATTCAAATAATCAATCTCCAGAGAGAAGATTTCCATTGAATTATGCAAGTGGTGTACTTGGTACCAGGTCCCTGGAGTGTATAAACTCCAGGGACCTGGAGTTTATTTAAATACTTTTGAAGAAACTCCACACTCGCAAACTTTGACACACGCTTGGACTAAAACTGGACTAAAGCTGGACGAGAAGCAGACTGAAGCTGGCCCACATCAGGACTGAACAGGGACCAAAGACTGAAGCCAGTCACTACTTCCATTGAATAATTACATTTTTGTTCACACGATGTTCTATAACTGTACAGATGTGTGACACTGTACTTTTTAATGTCTTTTCCGTTCTTTTCTCCAGGGGTCTCCAGCCAATAGCTTGTGAGCCTTATCTCCCCAAAGACAATACATTATGCTGAAAAATCCAGATTATTCATTAAACCTAACCTATGTGTTTTATCTTGTTTTAAACATTTTCAAATAGTGACCGATTTATTTTTTTTGCTTTGTAAAACTCGCTCTCCAAGGGAACAAAGTTGGAGACTCCTGGTTCATTCTAAAAAGCTTTCTTTTTCTCTTCAAATGCTGTTCTGAAACTGACACGTAAGGGACATGAATATGTGACGGAAATAAAATATGTATATATATCTCAACATTCTTCAGTCATTGCAATATTCTTTATGGCAAATAAGATGTGTGCGTCATCATAGTCATTTTGATGTTTAGGTGAACAATTTTTAAACATGAGGTCTGGTTCCACAGGAGGATGGCTGGTCACATTGACAGAGCAGCCGTCCTCCTGTGGACTCACCACCTGCAGAGGGTCAGTGAGGGGCTGGTGCTATGAGACTTGGGTGGCATCTCTGATTGCCACCCCCCTGACCCAGAAATGGATTAAAGGGTAGAAAATGGATGGATGGATGGTCTGGTTCCCAAAGTGGGTCTCGAGGGACACTAGCTGGGCATTGTGGATAACTTTTGACAATTTCTAAATGCTATTTTTTTAGTTTGTGATACTAGATCTCAAACACTGAAGTGAGGCTGTTTTGCTGCTTCACATCAGTGGAGGTTGCCAACTCTCAGTCCAAAGTTGCACATAGTGACTCGCATGGCTCTTCGGCTTCTGCTTAAATCTGTAAAAACCTCTCACTGGATCGTCCTGATTATAGCCACTGGCCTCTATAGCTCCTCTAGATCTGAGTAAAACAGCTGAGGGAGGTGTCAAACCTTTTTTGGTCGGGGTTAAATTTAAGTAATGACTTAAAAGTGGTTTTCTTAGTGGAAGGTTTGATGTTTTGTTTACATTATGAAGGAATTTGGCAAAGGGATTACTTTTATATAACAGTATAAAGTATATTCCACAAATTTAGTTCAGTTATCAATTTGTTGGAATGAACCTAAAGCTTAAGAAGGCTTCTAATTGCAGCCTGTTATGCCAATGATAGAATAGATGAATAGACAAATAGACTAAAGTATGTTGTTGAGAGAATAAGGTATAACATGCCATGGTAGCCACAATAACATATTACCTTCTGCAAGTTAATTATAATGGATCTAAACCACAACTGGCACAAAGAAAGTGATACTCATGCTATATCCTGTACAGACTATATTTTAACCTTTCACATGTTTGCACACTTCTGTCTATTGCACAATCTGAGTGATTCTATCTGTGCCAAACGTGACATGTACATTTGTCCAGTGAGATCAATAAAGTCTTATCTTATCTTGTCAAAGGGTATTGCTGAAAATGTGCTTTCACTGTTTCTCACTGCTAAAACTGAAAATGGAATAAATAGAATGGTTAATGAATGCAGAGTAAAGAATGAACAGACATAATACCTCCACCTCACATGCACACATTCAGTCTCTCTCCTTACAGGGGCTCAGATCTTAGGAAAGACACCAACCTCTTTCCAAGCTACAAAAACTTGGCACAAAGTACTGTTCGATTTCATTACTTCCTTAGCTTTCAAAGATCATAGAAAAAAATGTGTTGCACGTTTCAATAGTTTCATTGATGAGCACAACCGAATCAATACAGCTTCAGAAGTAGTAAGTCCACATAATTTATTCAAACATTTCTCATTGTAGACAGTGGCAATAAGATGCGTTCTATTCTGCAGGCACATTCCTTGATCTTGACACAATAGACCATAATATACTTCTCAATAAAGTCCAAGAGTATGGATTCTTCAGAATGGCACAAAATACAAATTGAAAAATAAGCTATCATTAAACAGCTACAACAATCATACTTGGGGGAAGAAGAACATCAAAATATCAATAATGTAGTCATGAATTGTGTGAAACTAAACTTGTGGTCTCAAATAACTTCTCAAAAATAAACAGATTGAATTAATCAATAATGTAAACATTCCGTGTGATATTGCTCCCTTCTTCTGCCTCACTGCACTGAGATCTGGGGAAATACCATAGATCTATAATAATAACACCGACAGCATTGACTGCCCTCACAGTCTCAGGAAAAAGAGTTGTTCATAAAGTTATTGACAGAAAGAAAACACACAAACCCACTGTTTTTAAACTCTCAAAGGTTAAAGCTTGATGAAGATAGAATGCAACTATAATCATGATTGATCAGTTTCAAGTTTAGCTTCCTCATAGCCTCCAAATAATGTTTTGAAGAAAGAAACACAACAAAAAACAGTTTCATCTGCAGCAGCATCGACCACATGGAGTCAGTGCATGAGCTCTAGGACTCTAGGCCTATTTAAAATGTAAACAACTACAACTAATTAAGAAGCTCTATGAAGCTGGTCAGGAGGGCCAGCTCCACTCTGGGCTGCTCCCTGGACTCTGTGGAGGAGGTGAGGGACAGGAGGCCCCTGGACTCTGTGGAGGAGGTGAGGGACAGGAGGCCCCTGGACTCTGTGGAGGAGGTGAGGGACAGGAGGCCCCTGGACTCTGTGGAGGAGGTGAGGGACAGGAGGCCCCTGGACTCTGTGGGGGAGGTGAGGGACAGGAGGCCCCTGGACTCTGTGGGGGAGGGGAGGGACAGGAGGCCCCTGGACTCTGTGGGGGAGGGGAGGGACAAGATCAAGATTTGTTTCTTTTTGTCTCCTTTAGGAGAGATTTGGTTTGGACTGATGGGTCCGCTACATTTCAGTACAAAAAAATACATACATACAAAGACACCAACACACGTGTTGTACAGCTCACACACACTTCATCTCCTCATGTCCTTATTTAACAGATTCAGGGGACAGGAGGCCCCTGGACTCTGTGGAGGAGGTGAGGGACAGGAGGCCCCTGGACTCTGTGGAGGAGGTGAGGGACAGGAGGCCCCTGGACTCTGTGGAGGAGGTGAGGGACAGGAGGCCCCTGGACTCTGTGGAGGAGGTGAGGGACAGGAGGCCCCTGGACTCTGTGGAGGAGGTGAGGGACAGGAGGCCCCTGGACTCTGTGGAGGAGGTGAGGGACAGGAGGCCCCTGGACTCTGTGGAGGAGGTGAGAGACAGGAGGCCCCTGGACTCTGTGGAGGAGGTGAGGGACAGGAGGCCCCTGGACTCTGTGGAGGAGGTGAGGGACAGGAGGCCCCTGGACTCTGTGGAGGAGGTGAGGGACAGGAGGTGCTAGCCAAAGCCACCTCCATCATGAACAACACCTCCCACTGCACAGGACTGAGGAGGAGCTGAGGAGCTCCTTCAGTGGAAGACTGAGACACCCTCAGTGTAGGAAGGAGCGCTACCGCAGGGCCTTTATCCCCACCGCTGTCAGACTGTACAATAAGTAATTTTATGTCACTGATGCACAATGACTGAAAATAACCCTCTACTGTTCTACTCTTTATTTTATTGCCACTTTTTTATTGTATATAATTATATCTTGCACAGACTATATTTTTAACCTTTAACATGTTGCACACTTCTGTCTTTTGCACAATCTGAGCGATTCTATCCGTGCCAAATGTAAATTTTTCCAGTGTGAGATGAATAAAGTCTATCTTTTCTAACCTTATCTTAAATATGCAAATGAAATCTGGACTATATCTCCAGACAGAGAATGTTAATGGTCATGGTCATGGTTCATTACATATGTCAGCTTGTTACGAAAATACTACTCTATTTTCAGTAAGTGATGTGAATGTGGTTTTATCGTCAGATGGTGCAGCAGTGAACAGTGAGTCTAAAAACATCAGCAGTTGGTCCTGAGATGGAGCTTTTTATAAACAGTGCCAGATTTACACTCACTGTGAACATATGCTCAGTGCACTTCCGTTTCCAACAGTACTTTTACACTTTCACTCACTACAAAGAGGCGCCTGCTCCGTGTGCACGGCTCTGGGTATGGACAGGTCTAAATGATGATTTGTCGTTCAGCCCGAGAAATTGTAAACTGACAGAAGAGAAAGGATGTAGGCCTGGATAAACTTATGCTTCTGCCTACTCCTTTTCTCTCAGATACATTACCTGTTTCCTTTTATTTATTTATTATTACATTTATTTATTTTCCTCAGAAAATAAATGTACATAATTTCAGGAAAATAATATTTAGTAATCTTTAGTAATCTTTATTTAGTAATTAGTATTTAGTAATATTTAGCAGATTGTTCCTAGAGTTCGACACATGTGAGCTCCAACGTGTGGCAGTATGTGGTCCGTCTGCTCCGTCTGAGTGAGTGTTAAAGAGGAAAAGCATTGTTCCCGTGTCCAACTGCTGTTTTGCTTCTTTTGTGAGTCTCATCCTGTTTCTGAGGGAGAGGTGCACAGGAAGAGCATCCAGAGCTTTTTTTGCTTCGAAACACAAAAGTATGCTTTTTAATTTCTGACTTTAGTGTACATGTATGGTTGCCATGAGAACAGGGATGGTGGTGATAGTAAATTGTTGCATGGGTCATTGTGACCAATGCATGAGACGTGTACCTCAAGTGCAACTAAATATACCAAAAAACAATGTTCCACACAACAAGCAGACCTGAAGTTGTTTTTAGCTTCAACCAATGACATTTCAGGAACACCTCCCCCTGTCCATTCTGCATGTGGCTGTAGTTCATGAGTTTGAAAACACAATATTTAGATAGAAAGGGTAGGGGGATGTGTTTCTGATTTTGGCGTGGGTGGAGCTAAACTCCAACTCTGACTTTAATGAGAAACAACGTGACCCTTATGCTGCAAAGATGATTTTTCATGAGAATGTAATCTACACTTTACCATCCATATATTTAGGAAATAATTATTGTACAAGAGTGTGGGTCTGGCTTTTCAGGCTACACTGAAACCACACTTAGCTAAAACACAGAAAGTGTCAAATCACATTCATTCAGGATTTTGTTAAGGTTAAAAAAGGCCCCACAGCTCTGTCCTTCCGGCTGCTGCCTGACTGTACGACCTAAGGCTGACTCTGCACATGTGACTCACTGTACTACAGTCGAGAACAATGTAGGGAATCACAATGTGTTACACTTTATCTCCTTTTTAATCACTACTCACTGTTTATGCTGCCCATATCCTAATGCTGTTAAGGATATGTATCATCACTGTACATACTGTATCAGCCTGAACTCCCACTGCTAACAACAGAATGTACTTATTTATAACTACTACTCCTACTTTTTATAATTATAGTTTCATATTTCTACTAAACCTAACCCTTACCATATTTAAGCACAAAGATGTCGCTTTAGTATAGTTGTGTATTAGGGCTGTTACAGTTCATTTAATGATGTGTTTACAGTGAACTATTTTAGTGATGGATTCACCAACTGCTCTGTTTACAAAAAGACACATGTTCAGCAATTTCTGACTCAAACAGGAATTGTGATTCATAAGAAAATGAGGTTATTGTGGTCAAATCTCACAGTTGTGTTCTAAATAACTAATTGAATACAACTAATTTATGGTTATTAATGATCTAAATAGAGGGGAATTACAATCTTGTTTGATCAGATTCAGTTTGTTTTCCATTTGCTGTGAAACTTCATTGGAATGACTGTTTTAATATGAGCTGCAACACTGGCAATATGAACTGTTTTGCCTCATAGCCAGATATAGTGTTGAGATTCAAGGCTGCCATATTGTCGTGACATAAACAGAGACATTTAAAAACAGTCAGCTGAAGTTACAGACTGTTGTAGTGAAGGCTGTTTGTGGAGCCTCCCATGGCTCCTGTGCTCCTCCTCAGTCTGATAAAGCTCCATCCTGTGTCTGGTGCAGTGTGAGGGGATGGGAACCCCCCCTGCCTCCCCTCCATTCCTCCCCCTGCCTCTCTGAACTCTGGGAAACTTGTGACTCAGTGGCCTGTGACCCAGCTTTGAGGATGGGCTGCTTTCATATGAAGTCTTTCAGTGTTTTCTGTACAAGGCCTATTCAGCCTCAAATGTGAGTTTATGACATTGTTCCTCCATCAAACACTCCTCTAAAACTGGTATAAAGCGGTTACAAGCAGCATGTCCTCATTCTGCTACTTTTGTTAAACTCACAACTATGACGTCATTGACAGATGCTAGATGCTTCAATGGCATGTTATACCTCATAATAATTAATCTAAAATTATATCTGTCCACAATACTTAGCCTTCTTTATTAACTTTCGTCCATATTTGGTTCAATCCAAGCTAAAAAAAAAAAAAAATCCGATTTTTTTTTCCCGAAAAGACGAATAATGAGCTATCACTGTTTTACCCAAACACAAAGATAACATTGCATATCTTCAAGTTTCCCTCTCCTTCTCTTTTGCTGTTATTTTTGTTTAAAGAGACATTTTACTGAAGTAGTTCACACTTAAATATAAACCACATGAAGGCGACTCCAGCCATCCACAATAAACTGATATCCCCAATGTGGCCCCCAATTATTTCCAGCCCCTGGCCTAAACCATGAAATGGACTTCACAAGAGTGACACTGCTGTCTTTGAATCCATACATCTGAATTGGTTTCTATACTGTTATATTTAGAAAGGAGCACAGTGACACCGCAAACAGTGATGAAAAAAAAGTCAATAGCTGCTAGAATTTTGGCAAAATTTGACTGTATTAAAACAAGATTAACAAATGGGAACCAACATTATCTTGCTCTGAAAAGATGCATGAAATGTCTACTTTGGAATGAGGAAATAAAGCAGATTTTTTTGTTTTAATTTTATTTATTTACTCCCAGAGCAGTCAATTTGTGGTTTTCATAACTTTATATGTCTGTATCTTTACGTAGTTTATTTCATTTATTATTTATTATTCACTTTTGAAATGTGAGTGGTTCTACAGCCATTGACAAAACTACAAATTTCAAACCCACTGATTTTGGCGACAGACTGTGATTTTGACTATAGTCTGTGATTTTGGCAACAGTCTCTGATTTTGGCTATAGTCTGTGATTTTGGCAACAGTCTCTGATTTTGGCTATAGTCTGTGATTTTGGCAACAGTCTCTGATTTTGGCTACAGTCTGTGATTTTGGCTACAGACTGTGATTTTGGCTCCAGCTTGTGATTTTGGCTCCAGTCTATATGATTTTGCTCCAGTCTCTGATTTTGGCTCCAGCCTGTGATTTTGGCTCCAGCTTGTGATTTTGGCTCCAGCCTGTGATTTTGGCTCCAGCCTGTGATTTTGGCTACAGCCTGTGATTTTGGCTCCAGCCTGTGATTTTGGCTACAGCCTGTGATTTTGGCTCCAGCCTGTGATTTTGGCTACAGCCTGTGATTTTGGCACACTGAAGAGCCATGAGCGGGAGGGCGTGTGCTCTGGTTACGCTGCGCACCCATTGGCCCCAGCTCTTCTCCATCTCTGTGCGACATTTTTGTGCTCTAAAAAGTTAGTCAAAGAAAGTGAACTCCGCCGTGTCTACTCTCCCCCAGCGGAATATCCACCTCTGCGCGTAAAGAGGAGCCGACACCGCAGCGCTGTACAACTTTAAGAAAGAGGATTTATACACATCTCTTCCCGAAAAACAATGACTCATTTTAACAAGGGCCCAGCGTACGGACTATCTGCAGAAGTCCGCAGCAAAGTAAGTGCAGATTTCTCTTTGTTTGCGCCTGTTTTCTTTTTTTTGGCACTGCGTAAAAGGATTCTCCATGGATGCGCACTGTGGGCTCGCTCTTGTCCCCAGAACGATGGTTGCCTCACCCGCACATTCCAGAAGTTTCCACTGACTGATCGACCAGCTTTAGCCCCATTTCAAGCACGGAATGATTACGCGGAGGTGGGAATGCTGGAGACGCGGCTTCAGCGGTCATTCCACCATCCGCAGTGTTTGTGTACGGGTGTTTGGAGGATAGAGGAGTTGTGGGGGGTTTAGTGAAAATATTTCTAAAGATATTGTTCCACAAGTGTATAATAGTCATTCATTGTGCAAGTAAATGCTGCTGCTGAGAGCCAATTATTGTGCTCAGCTTAGATTGTAGCCCGTTACAAAGTAAGAATACTCAAGTAAAAGTACAGAACAGTGGTCTAGGAAGTGAACGAAAAGAGGGAAGTTTGGGAATAACACATGATTGATAAGTGCACAGTAGAAAATATGCATTGAATACATTTTGTATAGCTTTAAAGTCCTAACAGCAATCTCAGTTGACTTTACAAAGTTGTCAATTACACAATAACAGATCAGAGAATCAATTTTTACTTTCATGTTAAAAAAATATGGATGAAAAATACAGTAAGAGATCACTAGAAAGTGCATCACTCCCATCTAGTGGTAGAAGTGGGAAAACATAATGCTAGTTTTAGAGCTAAATCTTATACGATGTCAGTGAGGGCCGTGCATTTCAGACCTGCGCCTGGAGTGACGCTCCATCGACGTAATCCACTTTTGAACACCGTAATCATGATCCCAGTGCTCCACACACATAATGCATTTATATTTTAGACCAAAACCGGTCAAAGCTGGTCTTTCTTGGTTTGTTCACCACTGGTCTGGCTTCTTGAAAAGTTTTTCTTGAGAATGGTGTTGTAACTAGACCTGCGACTAAATCAACATCTTAACCTTCTTTAGCATTTGTGGGTTGAAAAAACTAAAACAAGTCGTGCAATACATATAACATTTATAACATAACATATAACGTCATAGACTGTGTCTGCATCATAGACTGCGTCTGCATCATAGACTGCGTCTGCATCATAGACTGCGTCTGCATCATAGACTGTCTGCATCATAGACTGCGTCTGCATCAGAGACTGTGTCTGCATCATAGACTGCGTCTGCATCATAGACTGTGTCTGCATCATAGACTGTGTCTGCATCATAGACTGTGTCTGCATCATAGACTGCGTCTGCATCATAGACTGTGTCTGCATCATAGACTGTGTCTGCATCATAGACTGTCTGCATCATAGACTGCGTCTGCATCATAGACTGCGTCTGCATCATAGACTGTGTCTGCATCATAGACTGTGTCTGCATCATAGACTGCGTCTGCATCAGAGACTGCGTCTGCATCAGAGACTGTGTCTGCATCATAGACTGTGTCTGCATCAGAGACTGCGTCTGCATCAGAGACTGTGTCTGCATCATAGACTGTGTCTGCATCAGAGACTGCGTCTGCATCAGAGACTGTGTCTGCATCATAGACTGTGTCTGCATCAGAGACTGCGTCTGCATCAGAGACTGTGTCTGCATCATAGACTGTGTCTGCATCATAGACTGCGTCTGCATCATAGACTGTGTCTGCATCATAGACTGCGTCTGCATCATAGACTGCGTCTGCATCATAGACTGCGTCTGCATCATAGACTGCGTCTGCATCATAGACTGTGTCTGCATCATAGACTGTGTCTGCATCATAGACTGCGTCTGGATCATAGACTGCGTCTGCATCAGAGACTGCGTCTGGATCATAGACTGCGTCTGCATCATAGACTGTGTCTGCATCATAGACTGTGTCTGCATCATAGACTGTGTCTGCATCATAGACTGCGTCTGCATCATAGACTGTCTGCATCATAGACTGTCTGCATCATAGACTGCGTCTGCATCATAGACTGTGTCTGCATCATAGACTGTGTCTGCATCATAGACTGCGTCTGCATCATAGACTGCGTCTGCATCATAGACTGCGTCTGCATCATAGACTGTGTCTGCATCATAGACTGTGTCTGCATCATAGACTGCGTCTGGATCATAGACTGCGTCTGCATCAGAGACTGCGTCTGGATCATAGACTGCGTCTGCATCATAGACTGTGTCTGCATCATAGACTGTGTCTGCATCATAGACTGTGTCTGCATCATAGACTGCGTCTGCATCATAGACTGTCTGCATCATAGACTGTCTGCATCATAGACTGCGTCTGCATCATAGACTGTTAATGCCACAGATTCATTTTCCTTCACTTTAAGCTACCATGGGCAGCAGTGCTGCCTCTGAAGGCCTAAAGGCGGATTTTGAACCATGGCAACACCTGATGTTGAATAATGATGGGATAGAAACTCTACACCAGCCCTCCAAATCTCGAACTGGGAACTTATGCAACCAACATAGGAAAACTATGAAATGTAGAGTAAAGACAATAAGGAATAATTTATACATAATTGTGGAAAATATATTCAAAACGTATATATGCATATTCCTGTTATGTGTAGGCCAGCAGAGAAGGTCTTGCTGGTCGTGAGGGGCTGCCACTGTATGAGATGATGTAATTGGGGAACGCAGTTGTAACAAATAGTCATTTTTTTGGAGGAAGTCCCAAAACTATTTTAAAAGGCCAAACATCGCTGTACATGACGTCATTTTGAAAATAGAGAATTTAGACAGAAGGGACGGGGTTTTGTTTATTCCACAAATGTAGCATTGGAGAGGCTAAAACTACAGGTCTGTTTCAGATGAGGAACAATGTTGTCTCAAAAAACGACTGATCATAAAATTGAAAGTAATACAATTTTAAGGAGCAAAAAATAAAAACTAGTCCCACCATGCAATATTTCATATTCACAATATACAGAGTATTCTGAGAACTATCGTAAAAGTGAGCAGCCATATTCACTTTTACCATCCTTCCATTTTCTTCCGCTTTATCCATTTCCGGGTCACAGGGCAGCAGTCTGAGACACACTCACATCCTTCAGCTCATCCAAGGAAATCCTGAGGCGTTCCCAGGCCAGAGAGATAGTCCCCTCCAGTGTGTCCCCTGGTCTCTTCCTGGCGTAACATGCCTCAAACATCTCCCCGGAGGCCCCCGTGAGGCCCCCAAACAGATGCCCAAGCCACCTAAACTGGCTCCTCTCGACGTACAAGCAGAAACTCTAGTTCGAGTTCCTCCCATGTGACTGAGGTCCAGCCACTTAGACATAGACGGTCCACTCTGCGGAGGGGCATTCGGGCCGCTGGTATCTTTGATCTTGTTCTTTGTCAATATAAATCAACCTGGTTGTAAGTTGATCTATATTTTTCTTTTTATGTCATTTATTATGATGAGACAAAATATCACAATAAACCACCATACAGATATTGTGGCACACTCCTTCTACTGACCAAGTTATCATGTTACTACTTGAGTGCCCAAAAAGTAAAATTACCTTCTTCTTTAACCTTTTTTCTCCATTATGAATGTACACAAACTAACGCGCCTCCAAAGAAAACTACATCTGAAACTCATGAAAACTGAGGTTCTGTGGTTGCATCAGAGCTATGTTTGTTGTGCATTATCAGTAAACAGCATCACAAAGTCCAATGAACCCTCCAGAGCAGTCAGGGATGAGGTTAGACAACGCTTAGAACAAGAGCAAACATACACACATTATTCATACACTACACAACGTTGTGTTGTACTGTTGTAAAATATTATGTATGGCTCAGAACAAACACTTCTCATCACCATCAGCGCTTCATCCCGTGTCAAATACTGGGGTGGCAGCATCATGTTATTCAATTCCATTTCCAATTTTTGGCATCACCTCTATGAGAAAGTCAGATACTGGCAGACTTCTGAAGACAAGCAGGGCAGGGTCTGGTTATTTCTGTGATGAGAGACCTTCTGGAACACCAGGTGGAGAAGATGCGAAAGTGTTATTGTGTCCTTAGGCAAGACACTTCACCCACATTAGAATGAGTGTGTGTGTGTGTGTGTGTGGTTGATAAGATAAGATAAGATAAGAATTCCTTTATTCGTCCCACAGATCGCACATATAGGACAGTAGTAAGAGCACACAGGGATCACACACAATACTGTATATACACTATATACAAATAAGTAGTAGCTATGTTTCTTAACTAACATAACTAGACTAACTTGGTGGAGGGCCCAATGGCACATACTCATTGCCTCACTGCTGTCTGCCCCAGGGCTGCTGTGGCTGCATTAGTAGTTTATCACCATCTGGAATGGAGTGAATGAATAATTATTTGAAGCATTGAAGCATTGTCCAAAGAAATTTCTATATAAAACTAATGAAATCTGATTGATTGAATTTATTTGGGTATGGACCTAAATAACAACAGCAGTCGTCACAGTTGTGAATTCACCAACTACGGATCAGAGAATCAAACAGTTCAAACACAGGAAATGCAATAACAACAAACACATAGAAGTCCATAGAGAGGGATAAATATCTTAAGATGTCCCGGATGAGTGTCAGAGTGGGTGGGTGGGAAGGTGGATGGAGAAAAGCTGCGGGAGCCAGGCCTATTTCCCTCTGAACACAAAGGGCCCTATCTTGTTACGGGCCCAGTCATATCTCTAGCCTGTGTGTTGTCAATCCTTGCGTGATCTGATTGTTTGTGGGTTGACAGCCTCTGTTTGTGTGTATCATTTTTATATGAGCCTAGTATTGCCTGTTATTTCTTGTTTGACAGCTCCCTTTGTCTTTAATGTTTTTCCGCTTGGTAATCGCAGGCGACCCACTGAAGACCTCAAACCGTGTTAAGACCATACAAACATACTAATCCAGACACCCTTTGCATGACACCGTGGCCGCTCAGAGGAGTAATCGTAGCAACAGGCTCCTATCACTGCGCTGCCAAATCAGTGGGGGCGGGTTCCGGCTCAAAAGTGGCCAAAATGACGTGCGTTGACATGCTGCAATACCACCCCGGGCCGATGGGGGTGGACCCAGAATGAGAATTATTCAATGCTAACATATAGCATTAGCAGACCTCTCAAAAACACGTTTACAGGATGGACCAAAAGTTGGCTCTTGTCCCAAAGCTCCGTTCCACATGTGTGTCAATGCTGAGGGGGGTGAATTTCTTTGGACCAGTCTAGTTTAGTCTACCAGTCTACCACGGAGTCTTTGTCATGGGAAGGAGTTTCAACAGACCGATTATAACGAAGCACCTACTCCGAACAACAAACCCATACAACATGAACGAATAAGCTGATCCCATTGGTTTGTCCTCTGGATGGGAATATCGTTGTAAAAATGAACGAGTGGAGCATGGATGTGTTTGCAAGTATCAATGCTAAACATAGAGCAGGTAGCATGGACGTTAGCCCGACGTTAGCCACACTCCACTATAGGGTTAAGGCTGGATCACTGGATTGCACTCGACTGTCGACCAGAGGTGTAGAGAATAAGAATCTGCAAAATATATTATATTTCTTAATGTGCTATTTATACTCATAATGGCACAAAGTTGCATTGGTCTGTTGGACTTGGTTAAGACAAATATTTAGTTGCTTCAGGCATTTTTCAGTGGTATACTAACATCCATGTGAAAAAACACTTCTCTCTGTTCTCAAGTTAAATAGTTTCTTTTTAATGACTGATTGAAAAGTGATGAATTCATTAAAAAGCCTCTAATTATTTTTTTTAATCGCTTCCCGCCCCTAATGTAAACATCTTAAAAAGGTATTTTCTTTCACTTGACTAAACCTGGAGCTGAATCATAAACGGCCTGTTTTAAATCAAGAATAAGTGTGACAACTGCACAGGGTTAGAAATAACCTGGATGTTTTTATACTGTACATATATTTGGAGATGTTTCTATTTGTTGTAATGAAATGATTTTGCTACATTTACGGCCTGTGGTTGTGAGGCCAGAGGGTGACGTCTGTGTGAACAGTTGTGCTGAATGCTGTGAATAGCTCGGCGATAGCGGGCTGCAGATAATGAGAGGGCTCCTGTTTGGGTGGAGGTGCCGCTGCAGCGGGGCGTGTGTTTGTGGGAGCGCTGCGAGTCTGCGTGCCTCCGATCATCTGCAGCAGAGTGTAGCTTTCTTACTAAGTCATCTTTATTATTCACACAAAGCGCTTGACAATTGTTATGGCCACCCCCCCGATCCAGAAATGGATTAAGGGGAAGAAAATGGATGGATGGCATCCAGAGCACACAGAGGAAACCTATGCAGACATGGGGAGAACATTCAAAGTCCACATAGAAAGACCCCGTTTGGAGGTGCAATAGACATTTTTTTTTGTGAAGCACAAGTGCTAACCGCCAATGTGCAGGCTTGAAAATCTAAAGTCTAAAGTCCATCCACATTAGAATCAGAAGCTCCTGCGCACAAATCGGCTCTAACGCCCAATGCTCCTTCTGTTCAAATGTTGTTTTCAAAACCTTGGATTGAAAACTTGATCTGTAGCTTGAGCAGAGACACCAGGGCTTTGATATGACCATGTTTCCACTGAGTCCTGCTGTAGCACAGGATACAGCAGGACTGAGTACGGAAGTGAGCAGACTTGTATCTTTTATTATTGACTTTACTTTAACCAGGAAAGTCTCACTGATATCATAGAATGTCCAATTCAAGAGAGTCCTGAATTTGATTATGAGATTGTATTGTAGAGTATATTAGACATACAGCTGTAATGTAGATAAGATATTACAGTGATAATCCATGGGTGACAGATTACCACAGTTACATAAACGATCACTGCAGATGAGGCAGACTCATGTTATGTCTTCTTTAACAACCATTAGTGTGGTTAAAATGTGTCTTTGTTGTATAGTTCGTCCCGAGACTCACCTTTTACAGAGGACAGTCACGTGATCAGAGCTGGAGCACACCCAGGATCACAGCCCCTTCCCTGGGACCCAGACCCAGGATCACAGCCCCTTCCCTGGGACCAGGACCCAGAGCCAGAGCTCATACATGAAGCTGTTCTCTTCTAATATATGCCAAAGTAGTCCTCTTCACCTTAGGTCTCCAATACTCCAATTTGACTTATTGTCTGCATACTGTATTATTATTATCAAAAAAATAGTTATTTAAAAAATGTGTTGAAATATATTACAATGCCTCAGTTGTATTTTAGGATCAGTTTTACAAGTTAATGATTACCTTCCATTCCTCCATGTTCTTCCTCCTGCTCCGGTATCGGGTCACAGCTCTCAGCTCTAACGGCGAGGAGGAAACGCTTGGATGTAGAAAAACACTAGTTTACAGTGTTATGTTTGAGTGATCGACCGGACTATGGCATTGCACTCTTTTCCAAATGTTACTGCTTTCACTGGAGCTGACATTTCGTCAGATTGGTGAGGTCATGTTCAGAGAGCAGTTTGCCCTTACAGTGGGGAGACAGCATCGGCCCAAGTTAGTCATGTCAGTTGCAAGACAGTTTCATGCAAATTGTATAAAAAAATGCAGTTTCAAAGATCATTCAGAGGCAACATGAGAGGATCATGTTTGAGAGAGAGGTCTGTGTGAGTGAATGTACTGTTTCTCTGCACATGTGATCAAAGTGAGCTGTAAAGATGCAGACTGTTGTCCTTGGGTCGGAGTAACTCTAACCCTTCATATGAAACCTGTTCTTCATCCTGCTCATGGTCCATAGCTGTAACTGCAGTGCAGTGTCAGTGGTGAGGACAGGGGCCCTTCTGGGGGCCCTTACATAAGGCCTGATGATGTGCGCTCGGCTGCTCCTGCTCAGCTCACAGCACATTCCTAACATAGTGCTGCCGGACGCCCTCCTCTAACCCCCACCCCCCTTTTCAGTGAAGCTTTTGTAGTACTTATCCTCAAGTAAAGACTCTTTCCTGACCTTCTACCTTCAACAATCATCTTCTATCATTGACCATTTTAGAGTTAATGCTAACAACTTAATATACAAATTCACCCCATTTAGTTACAGTTTGAGCAAATCTTTATTTAAGTCCCAATGAAGCAGAGTGAATGAAAGACGACCCTATATCTGCACATTTATTCATATATTTCCTTGCACTTTATTTGGGTCACAGAGGCAGCTACTCCAGGCGTTCCTGAGCCAGATGAGACACACCAGAGTGTGGTCCTCCCTCCTCTGATGCTGCCTCAGCTGTCTCTCAACGCAGAGGCCTGCTGTTTTTACAGCAGTAGAAGTTCATTGCCCCATTCAAATGAATAAATAAAAAGTAATTATAGTTTACAAACAACAATACAAAAAAGTTCAATTTGTAGCATTAACAGAGAAGTACAATATTGTCCATTTCCTTTAAAGGAATAATGAAAAAGAAACTATATTTTTTTTGTAGTCCTACAATGCAAATGATATTATACTTATACTTACTTACGTATGTTAATGGTTCATTTCTGCAACTTTCAAAGCCTCATCCAAACCCATGAAAATGGGCGATGTTCAGGAAGGGATATTGACAGACTTCGTGTCGGGTCTCAGCTCCAGACCCTCTGCACAAAGCCAGTGTTTGCACAGTAATAGTTCTTAGGCCCTGTTTAGGTGGAAACGCTGCGCGGCAAAGCAATTAGCAAAATTGACCAGGCTCCTTATTTGAAGTGCACAGCGTCTACACGACGGAAGTGCTTGGCCAGTTGTGAAAGAAACGGCTTCTTTAAGTGCTTTGAGCTCACCTTACACCAGTATGCAGGTGCTTTCTCCCCACTGTGAGGGCAGACTGCTCTCTGTGTCTGTCAATCATCAATCGGAAGAAATCTGATCAATATGAAGTCCCTGTGGGCTGTATTTACTTTGTTTTCCACGGTTTCACATTTTTGGCATAATCTAACGGTGGAGCTTGAGCCCTGTCTGTATGTATATTAAAGAGTCTTACTCGCTCTGTGGTAACTATAGCATGGCTGTTTTAAGCACACGTAAACACACTTAGAATTATGTATCAAAAACATACTATATGAACACATGTCACGAGCTGGACCAGCTAGAACCACACAATATTACAACTTTATTTTCAATGTGGAACAGCCTCATTCATTAAAAGGCGTCTGCAATTATGACGTGGAAACTATTTTTGCATTTAATATTTTTATGAATAGTGTTTCCTTAAAGCAGATTGTGTGAGTGCTGTGGGTTTTGTTTCAGGTCTTGTAGCACTTGTCAGGTGTCGACACATTGTACTGTTGGAATGTGCACGTTTCCTCCCAGGTGACAGAGCAGCTGCGGCGGACTCCAGCTCTGGAATCTTTCATGTCACTGTCTGGACACTGTTTGGTCTCATTCTATAAAACAGACCGACACCTGAAGCATTAAAGTTAAATATACAGCAGTGCTCCCCAAAGTTTGTGCACGTAGCAACATATATTATCTATTGTATTAACACAAGGATAGTGATGATCCAGGATACTCAATAACATTTATGGGCATTTATCAGCATTTATGGACATTGGTCATCTGCACCTGATGGGGCAAGGGCTCTATGTGGTTTCTATAAGTGCATTTCTCTGATCTGTGTTGGAGGTTTCAGCGGTTTTATAAAGTCCTCTGATATAACTACTGTTGTGATTTGGGGTTTTTACACACAACAGTAGTTTTACACTGCACAGTCTGTCCAGTGTGATGCACACGGGACAGACTGTGACGGACACTGGACAGACTGTGATGGACACTGGACAGACTGTGATGGACACGGGACAGACTGTGACGGACACTGGACAGACTGTGACGGACACTGGACAGACTGTGACGGACACTGGACAGACTGTGACGGACACTGGACAGACTGTGACGGACACTGGACAGACTGTGACGGACACGGGACAGACTGTGACGGACACGGGACAGACTGTGACGGACACGGGACAGACTGTGATGGACACGGGACAGACTGTGACGGACACGGGACAGACTGTGACGGACACTGGACAGACTGTGACGGACACGGGACGGACTGTGACGGACACGGGACAGACTGTGACGGACACGGGACGGACTGTGACGGACACTGGACAGACTGTGACGGACACGGGACAGACTGTGACGGACACGGGACAGACTGTGACGGACACGGGACAGACTGTGACGGACACTGGACAGACTGTGATGGACACGGGACAGACTGTGATGGACACGGGACAGACTGTGACGGACACGGGACAGACTAGACGGACACTGGACAGACTGTGACGGACACGGGACAGACTGTGATGGACAGACTGTGACGGACACTGGACAGACTGTGGCGGACACTGGACAGACCGTGGCGGACACTGGACAGACCGTGACGGACACGGGACAGACTGTGACGGACACGGGACAGACTGTGACGGACACGGGACAGACCGTGACGGACACGGGACAGACCGTGACGGACACGGGACAGACCGTGACGGACACGGGACAGACCGTGACGGACACGGGACAGACCGTGACGGACACGGGACAGACCGTGACGGACACGGGACAGACCGTGACGGACACGGGACAGACCGTGACGGACACGGGACAGACCGTGACGGACACGGGACAGACCGTGACGGACACGGGACAGACCGTGACGGACACGGGACAGACCGTGACGGACACGGGACAGACCGTGACGGACACGGGACAGACCGTGACGGACACGGGACAGACCGTGACGGACACGGGACAGACTGTGATGGACTGTAATAGTTTCTAGATTCAATTCTAGTTTTGGTATTGATTGATATCTGATTTTAAACACCTTTGACAACCCTAACTCTTCTAATCGTCCTTGTCATCAGAATCGGAATTATTTGTATTGCCATTGTAACAGGAAGTCATAAGCTTGGAGTTGGCTTTAGCTGATGGTGAAAACAAGTTATTAACTCATTGACTGCCATCCGTTTTTGATGATTACACTGATCTTGAGGTCCTGGGTGATGATGAGCCTATCCACAATCAATCATCTCCACTGTCTTCTGGAAGTTCAGCTCCAGGTTGTTACCACTGCCCCAGGACACCAGTCGGTCCACCTCCCTCCTGTAGGCGGACTCATTGTTGTTGGAGATGAGTCCACTGAGGGTGGTGTCATTCGCAAATTTGCTCAGCTTCTTTTTGCTGCTTTCTCCTAACTCCTCTGTGCTCGACCTCTGAGTTTGGAGCTGAGCTGATGAGCCCAGAATAACTCATGCACATCCCTGTAATCTTCCTGCTCTGTTATTTCCCTGGCTCGGCTTTGGAGACTTAAAGTTTAAGCCCATTATCTAATAACTTTAGGTGCATCTCTGGTTACAAGATCAATACTGTAATTCCGTGTATAAATTCTTGTGAATCGTTATCTCCCCATCTCTGTAAACTATTGTTCAAACTAATTAAGGAGGTGCATTATCTAAAGTTTGAATAGGACAAAGCGTATTTGATGCGACAGTAAAACAATAGAGTTGGGTATCTGATTGGCCTTGCGTTCACACAGAGACGGTGTTTCAGGGGGGTGAAAATGCAAATGTTGAGAAACGGCCTCCAGAGAAGAACAAAGCGGCTGCACTGCGCGGCGGGGGCCGTATCACAGCCGTGTGAAGCTGCAGTAGGACTGTCGGAAGGACCGCATCTGGCCCACTGGCCGGAGTTTACCCACCACTGGTCTAGGACAATCTGGGTTAATTTTAGACAGTCAATGTAAGGTCTGTCACTGCAGCCAAGTCTGTAAGATTTCATCCTCTCTGCCATAATGACACTCAATTGAACTTTGCACTAATTATGTATTACTAATTGGCATGCCTTTGTGTTGCTGAATGTTTGTCCGGATAGACACAGTTCCGGGCAACTAACGAATGTGAATTCCAGGGGGCAGCCCATGGCAGCGCTTTTCACTTTTTAACAAATGTTTAAACTCTGGTGAAGTCACGACTGTTGCCCATCCCAAGATTCTTGGAGAAAATATCCTGCACAGTTCCAATTAAGTCAAAAGTAAAAGTATTGCATTAGTATATTAACAATAAAAGATATTTGCAAAAACTGTCACAATGAAATACAATATTATTGTGACAGCTCTCTGAACGGCAGATTATGATAAACAGGCCTACAGCGTCAGAGCATCCTGGATTCTCTAATTTTATCTTATCTTTCTATACAGTAATCACAAATGAAAATGTAATCATGTGTATTGTTTTCAGATTGCACAGAAGTATGACCTGCATAAGGAGGAGGAGCTGCGCTTCTGGATAGAGGAAATGACTTCCATGACCATCGGAGAGAACTTCCAGAAGGGCCTGAAGGACGGGGTGATCCTGTGCGAGTGAGTGTGGTTCATAGACTGTATGTAGGTGGACAATATTTACACGTTAGCTCAATGAAGCTTCGTTTTTTTCGAACTTGTTCTGGCTCCAATTGACTTATATTGAAAAGGAAACTCCTCCAGCTCTCTAACCGTTTCTCTCACACTCACCATTTTGGGTTTCAATTTTTTTATTTCTTCAGTTTCTTAGTAAGAAAAGCTCTCACAGTTTCATTTCACTGTTTGGGAACAGTTTTCTTCCTTGTTTTGATAGATAGATAGATACTTTATTGATCCCCCATAGGAGAAATTCTGGACTGGTGCTATGAGACTTGGGTGGCAGCTCTGATTGCCACCCCCCGACCCAGAAATGGATTAATAAAGGGGTAGACAATGACATGACATGACATGTCTCCTAGCATCCTGGTCTTTCCCGTTAGCTCCTTTTTGTCAGTATCACTAATATAGTTCTCCCTTGGCCTCAGACTCTGGATATTTTGAACAGACCTAAATAGTTGCACCAATTTCCAAGCGTTTAAACATGATGTCACCCATGAAGTGAAAGTAATGGGTCGTTCGAAAGACCTGATTTCCCATTAAAATGAACACACGGACCCATGCTATTCACTAAACTAGGCAATGCCAGTTTCCTAATTTTATAAGGCAAAAAACAGCTCTGTTGATAAAATCATAGTCTAAGGATTATGCAGTAAAAGTATTAGCTGGGAATTTTAACGGGAAAGGTGGATTGGTGTGTTATTTCAAATAAACAAATATTTCTCTACTAGAACAAACAAAAAAACACACCATACAATCTAAACCCCTATTATTTAATAATAAATATCATAAGTAGAGTTCATCATTCTGTTGGCTATGCACAAACTAGAGCAGACCCCACACAGCTCCTGTGTTTTCAGACTCATGAAGAAACTGCAGCCTGGAGCCATCAAGAAGACCAACCACTCCAAGCTCAACTGGCACCAGGTAACACCGGCCCCTCCCGCCTGAGCAGTCTGGGACCGCACTGTTAGCCTAAGGCCTCCTTTATACTAGAGCTGTACATGTTGTGTGTTGCAGTTGGAGAACCTGGGGAACTTCATCAAAGCCATGCTGGCATACGGCATGAAGCCCACAGACATTTTTGAGGCCAACGACCTGTTTGAGAACGGGAACATGACGCAGGTGCAGACCTCTCTGCTGGCTCTAGCCAGTATGGTGAGTGTTCAGGGACAACAGCGCCCCCTATGTTCTTTGTCCATATGGTCTCATCCTCTGTCCTTTGTCATCAGGCCAAGACCAAAGGCATGGACACCAAGGTGGATATTGGGGTGAAATACGCAGACAAAACACAGAGGCACTTTGACGAGGGCAAGATCAAAGCAGGACAGTGTGTCATCGGACTGCAGGTAACCTTTGAGTTTCAACTGCTTTAAAGGCACACCACGGACTTTGTGACCTAAAGAGTTGACACATATGAGTTATTTTATATGAATACTTGGGCCAATATACAGCGCTTGACACTTGCAATGCTCCGAGCGGGGCTGCCCTCTTGAAATACCGCCCATGTAAGTTTCGAGCAGACGGACCGTCTGCCACCAGGTCACGTGACTTGGAAGAAAGACTTGCTTTACGGCTACAGGCGCTGATATACTCATGGAGCTAAGGCTTTTGCTACTCATTTTTCACCTGCTCGACTCCTGGTCATGGCTGAGGCAAGGAAAAATTTTAAACCTTCGGAGGAGGCTAAAAAGAGGAAACGCGAAAGGGATCGTGCTGTAAGCTGCATGTCTGTATGAGCGCTGCTCTTCACCTGGTTCCTGGATGTCATTGACTGCAAAGATGTCCTTCCACGCAGCACGAGCTAGACGCAGAACTCCCTCATCCAGGATATAGAAGTCCATGTGTGGTAGATTACTAATGCAGCGGTCTGGAGGCTGACCACAGCAGAGTCTCTCAATATCTGTAGGCATGTCTCTACAGTTTGAACACACACACCAGTGCATGCTGTCTGAATACACACTCAAAAGACACCGGCTGACTGTTTGTTGACTTTTGCGACAGTGCTGAGTTGCTTGTGGCCACTAGGGGCGCTAAACGTGAAAGTTGCAGGTCTAGCGCCCCTAGTGGCCAAGAGTTACACGGTGTGCCTTTAATGTTTAGGTCAAAAGATGGTTTTAGAGGATGTTTTGTGGTGATACTTCATACTTTGTTTCCACCGCTCTGCAGACTCAACAATTAAAATGTAATTGAACTTGATGCTTTAGTGATATTTAAATACAGTGGGGAAAATAAATAAGCTAAGATAAACTTTATTTGACACTTGCCAATTGACAGGCTGAATCGGGCCATATATTGTGAGATTTTGAGCAACGACCTTCCATCAGTGTCACCTGTTCCAGCTTTACTCTTACTCTTGTAGATGGGAGATTTGTTTTTTTAATCAGCTTCAATCTCTTTTTTTATTTCTACAAAACATTAAGTGCAGTGTTGTAGTTTGTTCTTCAGACCATTGAAGTGATAAATGGAAGAGGCTATGGACAGGGTCGTGGTATTACTGTCAGTGTCTGACTACGAGCTGCTGTTTTGTTTAGATGGGGACTAACAAGTGTGCGAGCCAGGCTGGGATGACCGCATATGGGACCAGGAGGCACCTGTACGACCCGAAGACCCAGACGGACAAGCCCTACGACCAGACCACCATCAGCCTGCAGATGGGCACAAACAAGGGTGCCAGCCAGGTACGCAAGCTGCACCACAGTGTGTATGAGGAGAACATGGGGAGAATGTACACCAGATTCCAATTACAAACATGCACACACTGCCACATCCTCAGTTCCGAGCCAGAGATGATCCTTCCAGGCCCTCAGTGTTTGTCGCCTGTTCGTTAGAAGCAGCATATTCTACAGCTCAAAACACTCCTCGGAGTCCTTACCTGTGCATTAGGTTATAAACAAAACAAGGTAGCTTATTTTTTATTTATCCAGGTCTCAAGTCAGGTTGCGATGATTCACTTTAAGTCACTAATGACCTGCACTAGGACTGATCTACCAACATTGCCACTTTTTATTGTACATAATATATCCTGCTCAGACTATATTATTAACCTTGACATGTTTGCACACTTCTGTCCTTTGCACAATCTGAGTGATTCTATCTGTGCCAAATGTGACATGTAGCCTGACTCTTGCCAGACCCTTGTAGTTCCGCCATGCTCCACCAGAGGCGTTTTGCTTCACCACAAGGGTCTGGTATCTAGCATAGCAAACTCCTTCAGCAGATCAGAAAATAATCGACCAATCAGGATCGCCGGTGTTACGTGGGGTTTGCACTGCCTTCTCAAGCTTGTCTCGCGCAGCAGCGAAAGCAATCCAAGATGGTAGACATGAAGTCTGTGAACCTTTTAAAAAGTTTAATTACGAACGAATTAAGACACGGATGTCACTTTTAATGCAATTTGAGGCGAGATGTTGATGGTTCTATGTTGATATATGTGTGTTTTAAGAGTCAAATGTTCCTGTAAAGTTTGGTTTAAGTACGAGTTTAAGTGTTCCTGTTTACAACACTATGCAGCAGGGTTGCCAGGTTTGGTGGTTCCCGCATACTTTTTGCAAGAGACTTGTAGGAATTAAATAAACAGAAAGACAATAAACAGAATTATGATAGCCAAAGTTGATTACATTACGTTTTTAGCCAAAAAATCATTCTGGGTGTTTGAACTGTTTGATTCTCTGATCAACTACTGTTGTGAATTAGGGCAATACAAATATAGATTGAATTTAATTGAACACACACGCTACTGAATGAATCTGAATCTGAATCTGTGACTGGGCACAGACACATTGAAGCGTCTTTTTAGTGTTCTTTGAAGGCGTAGACTGTGATGGCGGGAGGACACAGAATTCCCACCTCAGCCTTTGTAGTGAGTAACCCGCTACAGAGGCTGGGGGTCTGGCACATTAGGTCGGAAACACTCTGAGGATCATGCATGGCGTGTTTTGACCATAGTTTGTTGTGTCCACAGGCGGGCATGTCTGCACCCGGCACACGCAGAGACATCTTTGACCAGAAGGTGGCGCTGCAGCCTGCGGATAACTCCACCATCTCCCTCCAGATGGGCACTAACAAAGTGGCATCCCAACGCGGCATGAGCGTGTACGGCCTGGGACGCCAAGTCTACGACCCCAAGTACTGTGTGCCCCCCACAGAGCCCGTCATCCACAGCAATGGCTCCCAGGGGCCCCACGGTTCTGACATCAGCGACAGCGATTACCAGCACGACTACCAGGGGCCCTACCATGGGGACTACCCGGCCGAGTACCAGGGGCCTAACCACGGGGAATACCCAGCCGAGTACCAGGGGCCCAACCACGGGGAGTACCCAGCCGAGTACCCTGCAGAGCACCAAGGACAGGAGTACCACCAGAGCTACCACAACAACTACAACTACAGCCAGGGAGCGGACTATTAGAGTCTCCACATGCCTGTACTCCTACTTCAGATACCACAGCCAAGAGTATTCACGTGCACATACTCCGACTACAGCCAGGACATGGACTATTAGAGAGTATTCACACGCTTCTACTCCTACTTCAGCTCCAGCCAGGACATGGACTCAGAGTAATTCAATTCAATTACATTTATTTTTTTATAGTCCTAGATCACAACAGTAGTTTTCTCAGAGGACTAAACAAAACTGTGGAATTTGCCAACACAGATCAGAGAATCAAACAGTACAAATACAAGAAAGTCAGTGATAAAAAGCAAAAAAACAAAACAATAAACACATAGAGCCATTGGTCCATAAGGGGCAGATGACCAATGTCCTGCATCGGTGAGGAGCAACAGAGTATTCACATGTGTGTTCATTCACATCCACTTCCCCAACCAATAAATAATACATTAAAAAAGGACATGCATGTACTCCTACTACAACCATCACAGCCAGGACTTTTAGAGTATTAGAGTATTCACACGCACATACCCTGTACCCTTCAGACTACTTCAAACCTGATCTTTGGAATATGAACTTTGGCATTTCATGTTTGACAGTGTGAAATGATTTTTTAAGCAGATTGTATTGAAAACACGATAAATGGAGGTGATTAGAAGGAGCAGTAGGCAGACGAAAGGGTAATTAGGTCATTTGAAAGGTATGAAATTAGATGGAGCCAATTTTAAGGCCTTAAAATAAATGTTAGTTACTGTAAGACGAATTCACCAATCAGAGCTTTTCTGAGCCTGGAGCTGAGGCGAGTGTGGTTTAGTGCATTAATATCTGTCTCTTGGAACATTTTTGTAAATTTTAGGGCATCAACAGAACATGCGAACATGTCAATCTAATACAAGGAGTTCATACAGTCATAGAAACAGGTAAAAGTAAATGGAAAACCGGTCAGTGGAAATTCAAATCCAATTCTCAGGCCCTGAAAACAATTGGAAACCATGTCTAAAAATGACATAATAAAATTTATAAAAAGGTTTTGAATTGAAATTATCCAAACCTGGAGATACCCCAGAAGCAGGAATTTATTTAAAGATTATGAAAGACCTAAATTGGATCAAATCAAAGTGACGCCACATTTTATTCAGGAAAAATTGTACTTTTATTTTTTAGAAAACGACCCATAGTCTGAATGGCCATAAACTTAAGACTTCAGACAGAAGGGGTGGGGGGACGTGTATGTGGTGATGTGTGCCAGACATGTGTTCCGCATGTTAGCATGGATAGAGCTAAAAACCATTCCATTTCTGTTTTAATGAGGAACAATGGTTCAAAGCTTCAAAAAGGCTTCTAAACATTATTTCTATTATCTGTGGTCCTTGATTATCAGTACCTTTGCTTTGATATTTCATGCTTTAGGACTCCAGCACTGCCATCTACTGTTGGCTGTGGGATTTACACGGTTCAAAGCCACATTAAAACTCATTATTGTGCATGAAAAGCAGTTCTGTGGAAAAAAGACCTAAAAGAACAATCATTTAAAGACTGATCATTTACGTACGGGGACCAGGCAAAAAGTTTAGCCTGTACCTGAATGGACGATGCTAGACCCTGACCTCAATGAAGTCCAACAGGGAAGTGCTTATGGACGAAATATTGCTCCAAATCAATCTGGCTCCTGTTGACGGATTGAATTCTGGTAGATTTATTTGGGCCTGAGCTATGTCGTCCACATGATCGTATAGTAGTTTATTGTCCAAAAGATGAAGATAAAATTATGAAATTATTTGGAATTTAACCTTACATCCTTTTGCAACTTCTTCTTTCTCTGAAGCTTTTGGTCCATTGTTATATATTTAGTGCAGTTGAAATCTTGATCTTCACCAGATTTAAGAAGATTCAAGTCGTCCAAACTCCTCCGACTACAGTCCCTGCCGTATCGCTCTGCACTCTGCCCCTTTGTTGCAACATTAGCATAAACATGGTCGTATATGAAAGGCTGCACACAGATCACAGATTTAGCCAAAAATCCTCCAGGTATCACAAATGTAGAAATGATAATGGGTGAACAAATTAAAAGCAGTGGGAGCGGCGAAGTGGCCTTAAAGGGGCCATGCAGTGGAGAGGAGCAGCGGCTTTAACCAGAGCTGTGAATGTAACAACTATAGCCTGGACAAAAGCCGTAAAAGTGTTCTTAACCAGGAAAAAACCATGTGGTACCATAACAGCATCATGGATGGACGGATGGAGCTAGAGTCAAGGCCTGAGAAGTTCTAATTTTGACAAAGGACATAAAAGAAATAGCACGATAGTCTGTGTTACGTCACAACCACCATTTACGCCAGTCAAATGTGACGATTTCTGTTATTTATTTCAGTATAAAATTAGGAAATGGGAAATCCTCAATAATAACATTTCTCACAGACATCAAAAATCCACTTTCAAGGTCCTGGAAAAGTTTTGGAATTGAATAGGCTTTTGGAAAGTTTACACTGCAAAAAGATGATTCAATATGAGGTCCCGTTTTCTTGAATCAAGTTGTTTTTATCTTGATTTTGATACATCCTAAAACAAGATTTGCAAACGGGACAAAGCCACTAATTTTCTCATTTCAAGAGAGATTTCCTGTATCTCTTTAAAAAAAGATCATTTTTATTATTTTTTACTAATTTGTCATCACTTTTTGCAGTGTATATGATGTGCTGAAAACAGTCTAATCGAAAATGAGCTCCGTAGTGCCCTCTGTTGGTCAACGGTGGCATTACATGTGACTGAAACACTTAAAAAGGTAAATAGAAAGATTGTCCCAAATTTTAGGAAAGCACCGCCCTCTCCACTTTTGAACAAAACTCTCTGGTCTTTTTTGATGAGCACGTATCACCAGAATGATTGAGATTTTGGAGGACCAATTGTCTTCATGATCCACCCGGAAGTAGAAAATCCTCCTATACATCTTTAAATGAAAGACCTTAAGCAAAATGAAAGCTGTTATAATATTATGACAAAACAAGATGACAAAACTGAATCTTGTGAATAGTGTGTGATGGACATGAGTTTTACACAGCGGTTAGCGTCCGTGGTTTTGGAGGTTTCTGCTCAGATTCATGTCTCAGTTGTGAGTGATTTTCAGAGGACCAAACTCCTGTAATCTCAAAAAGCTTTTGATTTCCTTTATTATATTTATTGCAATGAATGCCGTTGTATCCTTGCCCCTCGTTTTGTCTTCATTTTTGTAACTATTCTCCAGCTATAGAGGTTTAACTGAACTCTGAAGCAACTAATACACCATGTGTAAATGGCAATGTCCATTTCGATAAATGTATGCACTTGTACTTGTATTGGATCTATTTGTACTTGGTTTAAAAAATGAAATAAAATATTTTTTAGAAATTGTATTGCCTACATAATTATGGCCAATACAAACATGCACAGTGGCTGAGTGGATAGCACTATCACTTCTCAGCAAGAAGGTCCTGGGTTCAAATCCCCGGTCGGAACAGGGCCTTTCTAAGTGGAGTTAGCATGTTCTCCCTGTGTTTGTATAGGTTTCCTCTGGGTGCTCCGGTTTCCCCTACCACTAAAAACAGGCACAATAAGTATGAATGTAAAGTGTGTCAGTGTGTTCGGTGACTGTCTTCTGTCATCACCGTGTGTAGAGAGAATGGAATAACTATCTGAACAATTGTGTAGTGCTTGGTCTGCAAAATGATGTATACCTCACTTACTTACATATTTGAAAGACTTCTACTATTACAGGTTGTAGATGTTGTACGGGGTTTCAGTCACAAGAGGGCGCACTCTGCACTTCTTTGTGGCCATACCTGCATGAGAAAGCCAGATCTTGTCCAACCTCTGAAACGAAGCAGGACAGGGTCTAGTTACTGCTGTGATGGGAGACCTGTTTGAACACCAGGTTCCACAGTGGGGCGACAGACTGTGATTGTGTCATCAGGCAAGACACTTGCCAGGGCAGATGCATTATTTGTTTTGATGAAAAAAACGGGATGTTCAAAAATGTACTGTTATCAAACGATGAAATAAAAATAGCTTACATAGAACTCAAGTAAGAATACTGTTACACTGCCAACCTCATGTCTATAACAGACTAAGTATGTACTGCTCATGTCTGCTCTGTAAACCTTTCCTACACTTTCCTCATTGTGCTTCCTCTACTCTCCTGATAAACGGAGACCTTTCCTCCAAAGCAGTAATTTTTTGCCAGAACCGTCTTGTCCCGGCCGTGTCTGTGCCTGTCCCACCTGTGAGCGATATTGTCAAAGCTGCTCTGTGCTGCTGCAGAATGCTCCTATGGCCAGTGCCTTTCTCTCTCCACAACGAGGAAGAACTGCTCCGTGGAACAGGTTCCTCTCTCTGAATTTGACAGAAATGTGAACTCTGCTTCTGTGACCCAGAGGCAGAGGTCACGTTGCTTAGAGCCTGACTTTCAAAGCTACACTAATCATCTGTGAACTGAACAGTCACTATAAAATGTCTAGTTGCTCAACACACCAGCTTCTGTGGTCCACTTCTATGTTCTCCCCGTGTCTGTGTAGGTTTCCTCCGGGTGCTCCAGTTTCCCCTACCACTAAAAACATGTACAATAGGTCTGGCTCCCATCTCTGTGTGGAGTGAGAAACAAATGCCCAAAAAAATAACAATTGTAAACCGCTTTTTGACTCTGGTCTGTGAAAGGCGGTATATAAACAAAGATTACTTACTTACTTACTACTTCTAAAGGTTCAGATTGCTTTTCTAGTCTTATACATAGTAGTGCAGTTTGGTGTTGGCTTGATGGTGGTGGGCGTGTTGGACCAGTCCCTCGGGATAGTCTTCAGATGTGAACGGACTAAATATGTATTGTGCAGATCTGGCCTGTGAACCAATCAGATAAGGGCAGATTTCTGCACTTCATCACGGCTCGGTCACATTATCTAATTCACAACTCATTTACGAGTTCTGATATGCTGTCAACTGCACAAACTACAGTCTGGTATGAGGCTCCTGGGAAAGCAGCATGTTTGTTGCGG